TTTCATCTCATAAAAAGCTAATCTATTTTTTAATTGCATAAATATAACAGAGAAATTTTGAAACAATAAACACGAATATTAACCATTAACCTTGTCCAATAAGTTTCCTATTAGCGTAGATTCCAGCAATAAATATTGGTTCAGCACTGATTTCACCGGCAGAGCGCAAAAGACGAGGTTCTATTTCCAAACCTGCACTAGAAGACATAAAGCACCGGAGCACTGCAAACGGTTCTGCTAATGGAAACACCTCTTCGATATCCAAATCAATCAACTGCGCTATGATTACATTTCGGATTAAAGCAATGGCTCTGCAACTTGACCTAATAAATGTATGACAGCAATTTTTATTCGGCAAATAACAACCACCACATTTTCTTGAAGATCTCATTGCTATTCATACGAAAACTGTAAGGTTATAAATGTCACCTAGAACATTTGATGCTGTTCTTTATTGAAAAAGAATTAAGTTCCTTCACATTTTCGATTTCATTACTAAATTTTGTTTGTAGTAAAAATCTTAAAAATAGTATTTCACATTTGACACTGCTGATGGATGAAAGCTTGCTAGTTTTCTTATTTTTCATATGAATAGAAATGAGATCTTCAAAAAATTAGTTAATGAAATTTTACAAAAGGGACCTTCCATATCGTATTTGGAAGGAACTGATTTACCTTTGGTAGGGTAATGATCCAAGGAGAGCTTTAAACGCATTACATAAAGAGATATTTGAAGGCGGAAATTCGGCAGTGCGGATCAAATTATTGATGCCCAAATAAGTAGCTAAATTTGCGATCTGTTCATCATCAGTTAGTTTCAAAGCTAAACTTGTAATGAGTTCTTCTGGAGCACGAAGCAAGCCATATCGTAAATATGCACACGTATTCTTCCATAGAAATTCACTCCCTGCAATGTATTTTTCAGGATGTATTAAGCAAGTATTTATTAAACACATAAGATTATTTAATTTTCGTAACGCTGTCAAAATTTATGAGAAGATGAGAAATATTTTAGAACCATTTTATCAAAATAATCGTTTGCTGTTCATGCACATTAGATTATTAACGGTAATCCAAATTTCCAGTACCTATAAAGTAGTTAAATAATCATTCTTGAATAGTGGTGTGAAACTATCACATTAAACATTTTGTTATCCGTTTATTTGATTCATCTTTGAATTCTACACTGTTTATAGGAAAAAAAAAGAAAATTAACCAAGTTGAATGAGCTGTTTGTTGTGCTCTTTCATTTCATAACTTTCTTGTTTAGTTGGTTGAGCATTTGCTGATTCTTCCGCTATATCGGCCCGTTGATAGAAGGAACTATCGGTTAGTGCTCGAATGAGTACATCCTTTTTTGTTTCTGGAGCACCAATTCGATGGCCAAAGGCATAAATTTCCGAATCGTAATTCCTGTTAAAATAACCGCAGTCATTCGAAAAAAAAAGGTTTACTTTCTGCCAGATCTTTTAGTTGAAGAAAACGAAAATCCAAAAAATAAACGGTGGAATAGTTTTTTGAATGAATCATCAAAAAAGAGGTCTGAAGATAGAACTGTATAAGCTAGATTGAATTGTACAAGCTAGAACAGTGTAGATCAGCAGCACCATACCAGTTAGGATATGCAGATCGACTTAGTACAGGATCAGCTCCAGCTAACATTCGTCGATGATATAAATCTTTCAGGTACGGCCTTTCCCATCGTGCTCGTATATATCGACCTTTAAATATTTTATATTTTCACTAATATATTTAACACTTTAAATTTGCTTGCTCATTTGTTAACGATTGTTCAAATGATACTTACTGAATTAAAATTTTCTACTAAGATAATTCATCACCCTAGTATCCTTTTCTTGATCTTGAAGGAAAAACTTTCTGTGTATAGTTTTAGCACAACAAAATTAACGATATCATCGATCTTATCTAGCAAAAAAAAAATCTCAACAGTTCTACGCTAATCATATATTATATTGGCGTATTTGAAATTATTCCTTCCACGAATTACATTTCGACCTGTACTCATTACATGTAATGCCTTATAAAATGAAATATTCAGTCTCGATTAGGCCTGGCGAATGGAATTCAAATTGGGAACGCTTTAAAACAGGAAAGACTTACAGAAAATTGACAGCACTGACTTTTTCGTAACGGACAATAAAGACGATATTACTGACATATACGACGGTAAAGGCCCAGCTGCCAATTATATCCCACTATCATTATTAAACACCATCTAGCGAAAGAGCCTAATGCCGTGAAATCGGTTAAATTAAGACAAGGATAACCCGCGAATGAAGAACTGGATAAATTCGAAAATTAGGTATATCGTAGACAGTTCTTGAACTTCAGTGCAGAGTGGAAGGTGTGAAAGGGCAGGAGGTACGGTATCCCGAGGATTCTTGAATGATTCCATTGGCAAAGGGAGAATTGAAAAGTTGCAACAGAACGTTAATTTCAGCAAAAGATCTTATCATGAAATGATCACATCAAAAAGGATTAACTTATTGTCACCTCATTTTTTTTCTTTTTTATTTTTAAACATACAAAATTTTTGAAATACATTTAATGTGAAATTTTTTTTAACTTTTTTTTGTTATTGTTTAGTTTGTACACATATTTTTTAGTATTATTTTTATCTTTTATTCATTTTATTTAAAATTCAATCGTTTTGTTAATTAATCACGTTATTTAAGTATTCGTAAAACGGTTTTGATGTTTGTTTTTTTTTTCGTATTATATTTTTTCATATTTTCCACATTCTTAATAGAGATGCAAATATGAAAACGAATCATGTATGTATTTTAATTAGATTTTAGATTTTTTTAAATTTAACTATATGGTCGTTCATTACACCTTACCTTCCAATAGCCACGAAAGAATGCCATAATCGATTATTTTATGTATTATCTTTGATAATGTCTGATATAATGTAGCGACACGTGATTTTCCGGAACGTGAAGTATGATGACATACGTTATTTCTTGAGAATGATAGTCTGTTGATAGAGCGTCCCATCACTTCTTTGTATTGCTAGTGTCGAAGATTCTATTCGTTATTTTCCGATAGTGTTGGATCGAACAGTATTTATATCATTTTTCGATAATAGTCTTGAAAGACGATGCATGGTATCATTGTCTTGAAAAATGATGATAACATGCATCGTTTTTTCAAGAGTCCTCGTGAGAGGATTTCATCGATTCTACAATGAGATAAATCCATTTGTTGCAGACGCAATGATATTTTCACGGAATTGTCACGCACAGTAAATTTCGATTGGCAGATATTTGTTTAGTGTACAGCTACAATTCATCGTCGTGACATATTTCTTATATAGGTCCAACTATACAACCACTAGCACAACAACAGAGACAATTGGATTAAAACTATTTCGATTAGGTCGAAGGTCACACTTCTCTTTATTGTGACGATCGTGTTGGTCATGGGAATACCATCTCTACGGTACTAAGATTCCCGACCATTGCAGTAGCTAGAGAGATTCATTTCGTGTCGATTTTAAATGCTGTGTGGATTCAATGACAAGAAAAATAGCATATAAGAAAGAGAGTTTTATAAGATGGATTGTGGTTGGGTAATGAGATGTGAAGCAAGAGAAGGAGGCAGTGATTTTAAATTTCTATCCCGCCCGGACCCTCCAAAAGACATCTTTTTCCTTTTCTATCTCTCTGAGGTTATGGCAATATGAGATTTTCCATCCTGAGTTGCCGCCTTCTTCAACATTTGCCGCTCTCTTTTTCCCTCGAAACCAAACTCGCGATCATTTCTACTTATTATGACGAATCGTACATGTCATTTTAAATACCATTGCAGAAAGGAAAACAGTGTATTGGAAATGTTTGAATGACAGCAGAAAAAAGTGGATATGAAACGCCCTCATTTTGACCTTTGCCTCTGAATTGCATCCCAATATATCCATCATTTTACTGACCTCTATATTTTACACACTTTATTGTTCTCTTGCTGCAATCGAAATTGACCTCAATTGAATTGGCGAGTATATTTCCCGGAAGTTACGATCCTTCACAAATCATCAACCAATAATTTTTGTTGGGTTACTGTGACAGATATATGAAACTAATTTGCAAGGTGGACATTCATTCTTAAACTATTTGTATTTTGTTTTACATTCAAGAAAATGAAAAGTTCATGTTTATTTGATTATTCGAGATATTTGGCTTAAATAAAACTTAGGCTATTTTTACCAGATAAAAAAAAAATTGCATTGCATAAATAGCTGTGAGCAATAATTTTCTTTTTTTCGTATGTGGAGAAAATTCCCGTGATCTCACCCAGAGAACTCCAGACATAATAATGGACATTTTAATGACATGATCCCATTGTCAACAATATTTCAGTGAAACGGGTCGATTGTACCTTGTGAACCTGAGCAGTCGATTATAGTGAATGATTCAGTAGCAGAAACAGCGTCATTGTACTTATTATAAGAATGACTTGACCCTGAAAGATATTACTGGTGAGTAGCTGATCATACAAGTCATTACGATATCTTTCTCAAAAAAAGGAAGTGAACAACAGATTAAAAGTATCACTTTATATTTATCAAAAAAAAAAACATTTTGAGCTACAGTTATGATACTGACCTTTTTAATGAAAAAACTTGCTTCTTTCTCTTCCATTATTTTCTTTCAGACAAAAATTATCCCAACTCTGTTAAATAATTACAGTGAAAAAATATGGATATTTAATCTTAAGCTACAATTATGATACTAAAATAGGAATTGTATGAAAAGTATTCTAAGTTAAATATTGTATATTTGCAATAAAATCCTTATTAAATAGTGCAATATTGGATGACATGAAATATTTTATGTGTAATATGAGAAATTTGAAAACAACATAAATATCATGCAGCTCAATTTTTTCTCGCACAGTATTTGATTAAGCTTGAGATAATTTTATTTCCATATCTGCCTATTCATAATACATGCATTTATTTCATCTTTTTACAGCTATCTTCCCCTTAGTAATATGAAATTGGATTTGTGTCATTGAAATGAAATGATAACCGACAATATATTTGTTACTGCTTCACTTCTCCACTCATCTCTTTCGCATTTTAAGTAAAGTCCTGTTTAAAATAGGCGCATACATTATTCATTTCTTTTTTCTTGTTTTACCAGTTAATCTGTTAAATGGACTATGTTATACTCTAATTCTATTAGGAGGCGAAAGTATATGGCGCCAGAAAATGTAAGGAAGAAAAGAGCAGTTGTTCGCTTTTGTTCTCATTTCCAATACTTATTATCTTATTTGAAGATAGAAAAAATCGGAATATTTAGCCTATTCATAGCTAGATAAATGTACTTAATACTTATGACTTATTACTATACGAAAGGGTGGAATAAAATTCACTAGTGAAGATTAGAACTTAGAAAGTATAATTGAAGCTATCTTTCGAGGGTTGCTTGAGCATCATATTACCTTGCGAAGTTGTAGCTGTATGCTAAATATACATTAGGTATAGATCTAATACTTCAAACGTGACTATATATATAGACTGCTAGTCGGGTATCATATTATTAGAAATGAATGATATATCATTGTTTCTTTTATTTTAATTATTAATTATGAAATTGCTAGATTTCGAGTGCCATTCGAACAGTTGGCACTAATTCGTTCATTCATCAAAAATTCTAACAAATTTAATAAGAGATGAATTACAAATGGGATACCGATAGTGAATAGGGTAGCAGTGGTAAGTAGATAAGAATCATTATAACCGATCAAAAGCTTTCCAAGGTCCTTTCTTCGTCCTTCATTTTTTCTGCCAAAATCTCTTTCTACTAACTTCTTATAAGGAAGTTATACTCTGGTATTGTCTATAACGTATTACAATCATTACAAGTTTTATCGTTGATTTGTTATTTAAAAATTTTCTTAAATTTTCATTCCCATAAACATCAAATGTCATATACCATCAAAACATAGTACTAATTCTAAGAATTGCAAATTTTTCAAAAGAAATGATGAGCAATTTCCCTATTAGCAATGAATTTTACTTTGTTATACTAAATCACTTCAGTTTATGTTTAGTTCTTGAATTTTCTTGAATTTCTTTTCTAACTACTATATTACATGCCAAATAAGGTGGTATTGATATTTTTGTTAAATTTGGATTCATTCTTTTATATCAAAATTTGCCTTAGTTTTCTAGTTTCAGTTTTTTAAAAGATAAGAACTGAATTATTAAGGAATTTATCCATTCATCTGATCTTTACCGCTTCATAGGATTATTTGTATGTATTGGAAAAGGAGTAAGCAGCAACATTTATTCGCCATATTTTTGACAATTTTATCTTTATAGATGATCAAACGATAACTTACCTCCTCGATAAATTTTCCAGCTATTTTTCAAGATTTTTAAGAGCGAATGAAAATAACAACAACTGATTACCACAAATATAGAAAGCAGTACATTTATTTATTTGCAATGGAAATGATTGGACTTTTTTTTTGAAATTCCTATTTTGTAATTTTATAAAGTAACTGAATTTTTCGCGAAATCATGTAAGAATTTACATATGTAGCTAATAACGAGAGAAGATCTGTTTCATCAAATATGTATTCAAATGAACTATCTCAATTCTGACTGGGTGAAATGAGAACGATGCATAATTTTTAAGCGTATTAGCATTAGTATTGCTACTCTTCGAATTTTCTATTTATCCTAGAAATTGAAGTTTTCATGACAAAATTTTGAAAAAAATTATCTGCGATGTATATCGTTAGTAGTTAATCAAGTTTCATACTTGTATTCACTATAAATTTTAAGCGAATATTTCATTCATTCGCTCGCACTTACTGTACATATATTAATTAATACTTATAATAAAATGGAAAATTATTATTCAATTTCATCCCTTAGAGGAGAATTCGAAAAATATACGTCATTAATGATTTATGCGCTGCTATGCATCGTTCCTCCTATTTTTTTCTTTAAATTCATAGAATTCTGCAGAAGTTTATTTCAGGCTTTACCAATTCCAGTGATTTGTATTTTGTTTCTCGAATTCAATTTATTTTTGGTTGTTGTGGTAAGTTAATGATTCGTCTTCATTGATTAGAAGTAAAAGTTTGTTTGAGAGATAGTGCAGACTGTCAGCTTAAGAATTTGTAGTTTTGACAAAAAACCCACAATTAGAAGTCTGATCGTAGAATGCGCAGTACGAAAAATTAGTTCCTGGTTTATGTTAAATGTTATAAATGAAATAAGTCGAGTAAAGTAGCAGAATTTTCTAGGAAAATCTAATCTCATCTATTTGTCAATTTCTTGAATATATAGATTTGGATAGGATCATAATTGCCTGGAATAATTTAAATTTCAAATGATATAATCCTTAGGCTTGCTCTCGTTATGCCTATCAATGAGTATGTAGGTTAGGATCTCTTACGGCAGATTTTTTAATTCTTACATCAAATACAATTATATGGCTTGTTTTCTAAGAGCTTTTAGTGCATTGATCTGTTAAATTTATTTTATTGAAGAGCTGGTATATTCAGTCAGTTTTTTAAGAAAATAGTAGTTCAAGTTTTGAAAAGAACTAATTTAAATTATTTTTTCAGATGCTATATAATGAATGGTGCCTCAGATGAGAATGCCGAAAACAGATTCGGAGAAGAAAATGAGGAAAATGAACATATTTTACGACGGAAAAGACGGCGGAAGTGCCGTCCTCATGCTCTTGCATACCGTGATACAAATATTGGTGGATTGCTTAGTCAGGAACGTGAATTGCTACATAAGAAAAGAATTTCTGAAAAGTCTCCCTTGCCCAACAAGAGAAGAAAACATGATACTTCCCAAGTGCTTTTATGTTTCTATTTATAGGTGACTGGTAATGTGAGCTTAAGAAATGTAATTGAATAATTGAAGTCTTTTACATTTTATATTGGTAAAAGAACAACGCTGCGCGATTAATCGTCGATGGAACCATAAACTGTGTGCAAAATTAAAAATCCAATTTGTTCAAGTTTTTCCAATTCTTTCGGACTTTTAATTTGGGAGGAAATGTTTTGCTTCTTTGAATACAAGACATAATATGTTCTTGTGGTACGTTACTCTGGCTGTTCACATGAATTGAAGATCCCAGTTATAGGACATAATTTGCATAGTTTTGACGATAAATAGTTTTACTGATATTTTGATAATTAACATTCAACTATAATATATTTTCAGGAAAGAAATCAAGAACTTCCGACAAGAAGTCGGTGGCTTCCAACTGGAATGTCTTCCTTTACTGTTTTTTGTGATGAAGACAATGGCCAGGAGGTTGGCAGTTCGAAAAATTCTGAGGTTTCATGGCTTTTCTCTTACATTTGAGAACATACATTATTAAAAAATGGATTATTCATTGATGATTTTAAATGGTTTCCTTTTAGCAATAATTGTACCTAAATAGTGCCTCTTTAGATGAAGAGGAAAAAGTTATGTTTCAGAATGAAGTATGAATGAGGGTTAACATTTAAGTATTATATCGAATGGTAGCCAACAATTTTCTTAGCAAATCTAGATAGATGACTAAAATATTGTTAAAATAACTTTGTGAAGTTTAATCTGTACTTAAATTAAGACTAGAATTTTGCATCCAATGGCAATAAATAAAAAAAAATACTCGTTATTTAATCCTGATGATTTATCCTTCTATTACAATCCTAAAAGTAATTAAAAGCATTTCGAACAAAAAATTCCAAAAAATAATGATTTAGATTAAAAGTCGAATGAAAACACTGATATAAAATTCTAGGTATATAAAAATTTAAGTAAAACTAGAATTGTATTTTCGGAACTAAAATAAAAGAGCAAAGAAGACTACGAAATTGTATGTGCTTTAAAGATGCGTACTGACTGAGTATCCTGTTAAATAGTACTTAAATTTTTTTGGAGATGAAAAACATAATGAGGTACGACAGATATTTTACAGTGACATTTATTTGTATTTTGATTACCAAACTTGTTTATTTTAAATGCAGAATTCAAAGATTTTTTCAATCTCTATCTGTCACTTTAAGCGTCGCAATTCTGTTATTTCTGAATGTAGTTCGCAGAGCACTAAAATATTAAGTGCAATTCAACATTTTGAGGTGCAGCACTCGTTTTGGTGCCTAATAGATTAATTTGGAAATTTTGTTTGAATTATTTATCTGAGTCTTTAAATTACGCTGCAAAGAAGATGAAGTTTAATTCAGCTTTTAGAAGCATCGCTGTTATCATCTTTGATAAGGAAGTAGAGGTGGTTAATATCTTTTAATTTGAACGCGTCTACAAATTTCGCTATGTTTTAAATGATTTTATTCTTCCAGTTAGTAATTTATTTATAACCACCGGATGTTTACTTAATTACAAATGTTTTTACATATATGTATGTGTTTGCAGAACAATGATCAAAAAGGAAATAAGAGAAGTGGAGAAATGTCGCTTTGTTTACAGGTACCGAAGAAAATTAGACGTCCTTTTGCAATTTTGTCACCGAATCGTGAAGATTCGGATTTGGAGAATAACAGGCCCCTTGTTGCAAATTTGTCACCAAGTCGTGAACAATCAGATTCGGAGAATAACATGCCATCTGATAACAATCTTGAAGCTAATGAGGTTTGTTCATAGGATTAAATTTTCTGTTATGAAAAACTTTCACTGCTCTACAACATTCGAACGAAATTTCTTATTTGAAACCGTTCTATAAATGAATGTTATTTATAACACAAAAAAAATTTCAAATTACTACATTGCTTGTCAGGAATAACTATTCAGCATATCCTAAAATGATTGGCTGCATCAGAACTAATATTATTCAAAAATCTTTTATAACATGTGTTAGAAGATTAAGATTCCAAAATCAGATCAAAGATGGATAATGGGATATATAAAATACTTCTTTCACTCATCATGGAAATAATAATAAGATGTTAACAATGATGACAGTGCTACCGATTTAAAATAATATGACTTCTGATCTAATTAATTCGCAAACGCAAGAACAAAAGTAATCAAAATAATTCTTGCACTTTTTAGTTTATTGATAGTGAAATGTTCATTTTTTCAGGATGAAGATAGTTATTATTCAAGAGGTAGTACCGCTTCTTCGGTTGATTACAACGACATTTATGCTAACGAGCTGCATCTTGATGACGAAATGGCACCTAATGTTGATTCGGTTTCAGATACTATCCAAAGAGCACCTAGGCATTTCCCAAGTATTTCTAGCCAAGCGGCTACCACAAGCAGTAGTATAATATATACTATAGTAAGTACCATTTTATAATGAAGTTATTAATTCGCAAACGCAAGAGCAAAAGTAATCAAAATAATTCTTGAACTATAGATGCTGACAATTGCGAGAAATAGAATGAAGCAATTAGTGTTTTTTTAATAGTGGAAGAGTAGGAGGGGTCAGTGTATCAGTGAAATTTGAAACGTAAATTTTTTTCGTTTCACAGTTTATTGGTAAACTACAGTCAGTTACTTCAGTGATTTCTTTTACTTTTTAATCTAAAGTTTATGATAATAAATAAAGACTGTGTATATTCTGCTTGAGAAGAATGCATTCCGGTTTTCTTGTTACCATATTGAAGCAAAAATTTCTTTTTCAAGGAAACGAAAGAAGAAGTGGAGATGGTTTTTACATAATTAGTGAATGATATGATCAATTTCAGGAGGAACATGAAGATCGAGTGCGTACCGATCCAGTGTATGATATGGATATCTATGTTTATATGAGATATAGGGAATTAAAACTGTGTCCTTCTGGAGAATTTTTAGAATTTCAAGAAGAAATATGCGGTGAAGTGAGACGTCTTCTCGTCGAATGGATTTGTGATTCAGCTAGAGAATTCAATTTAAGCACAGTACACATTTTCAAAACATTGCTTTTCAATTTTGCTTTAATCTCAAAATAAATACATCTGTTCATAATAATTTTACTAAAAGATTCCAAAAGGAAATGACACTTTTGTTTTGAAATTTTAATTCCTTCAGTTGTTCTTCGGAAACGATATATTCCAGAATGAATAGAATTGGAACTTTTGTTCAGAATAACTCTAACATAAATAATTTGAAACGATTCTTATATTTTCTTATTAGATTCCTAACTTATAAATGAAGATAGTTCAACTTAATTCCAGGAATCTCTGCATATGGCAGTTTCAATCGTCGATCGAGTTTTGAATACACTTCAGTGTCCACGTGAGAAATTGCAATTACTTGGTGCTGTAGCTCTGTTGCTTGCATCAAAATTTGAAGAGATCTATCCACCAGAAATGAAAGAATTCGCTAGAATTACCGCTTACACGTTTCACGAGAAAGAAGTACAATTTACAAATATATTATTTCAAGTAATGAAGTCTATTAATTAAATGCAACTTTATGATAAGCTGTGATATTTTTATTTTATGTGCTTGCTTCATAGCTTGTTTTTGTTATTATACATCTTTCTCGCTTCCTTACCTGCATGTTTATATCTGGATTTTTTCCGCATCTTTCAAACAAAGCTTATCTTTTTGAAATACTTCAATGAGTAAGTCATCATTTCAGATTATAAGAATGGAACGAATAGTTTTTGCAAGAGTAGCATATCAATTGTTAGCACCTACGTCGTGGTGGTTTGCATCACGATTGGTACGGATGGCTCATGTTCCAAGAATAATTTATTGTATGATGAGGTATCTGTTGGAGCTTGCCCTTCTAGATCATACATTTCTGGATTTTCGACCAAGCGTTATTGGGGCAGCATCATTTTTTCTCAGTAATGTGATCTTCCGATCCGATTATTTGCTTTCAGTTACAGAGACAGGTTAATTTTACATAATGATTGGCTCATTATTGAATTATTTAACCGGCGTTATAACTATCGATTTTTTGAAATAATAAAAAATAAAAGGGATCAGTGAACATCAGCAATAAGAACGAAAAAGATCGGAGTTTTGCAATACTCTTATCAACCTGCTCTTATTTCCAGTCCATGCTTATTTATCTTTAAATTGTGCTATAAAATGCACCAGTTTTGTAGGGCATTTTCCTGTAGTGATCAAAAAATTGTATTGTAGAGTTCAGTAGAGATAAGTATGAGATTCAATATAATTATGCTTCATTTTATCGCCATTTGTAAATAACCTTTTACTAAGTTTACATGATCAGAATTGACAAAATTTCATGAATTTCTTCACATTGTCATTTTAATTTGCAGATATTGACCTTGATGAACTTCGCTCGCCTGCCCGAAAAATGCTTGAACTCTTCCACGAAGTTCCGAATAAAGATTATTGCAGTGTTTTTGAAAAATATGCAACGGAGAAGTACGAGCAGGTCTCTTGTTTAATACTCCCAGATAATTTTTCCGAATTAGATGTTCATTAAAATGCTACTTCTTCCCGTTGTAAATGCTTGCTGGTATTAAACTGTTTTGCTGTATTAAACTGTACGGAAATTCTATAATAGTGTTTAAATTCAAGTCCGAGAGATATCGTTTGGGTGAGTCAATGTAATAAATCGACAGTGCTACGCCAATGGCAATTGATCAAAAATTTCCTTCTTAAAAGAAACCTCAATTTCTCTTTCATCTTGTTCAATCTACTAAGAAAATGGTTTAAGATCCTCTTAACAGCAACGCTTTTTACTATTAGTATTTTTCGTTATCAACTTTGATAAAACAAATTTTCTTAACAGTTTAATCTGAAAACTATTTAAAGTTTTTCTTTATCAGTTCTTATCATTTGCTTTTTTCCTTTTTTGTGTAAAGTCTTCCTTTATCATCAAATATATAGGCCATTAATTCCATCATCGTAACTGGAATTATTCGCAGAACTAAATAGGATGTCAATATTTTTCGCTTATTAACACAATCTTTTTTGCATCTCTCATACCATTGTTTTCAAATTTTCTTTAATGATATCTATAACTTGGACTTGTCAAATTTGGACACACAAAACTATGTGATTGAAAAATGTTCAAATAACTTTACATTGTACTGCAAACTTTTTTAAAATATGTCTGGTAGCTCTTTAAAGGCTAATGATTTGAAAAAAAAAAATTCGAGTGAAATTAAAATAAAATTAACAGTTATTATTATTACTGTGCTTTCATTTAAAAATGAATTACTGTTTATTGTGTTGCATTCTTTTTTGAAACGGTAATAAAGGGGAGTTGACAAAATCCCGTATCATTGTTGACAATTTGCACAGACTTTCTCTTTGCTAAACTTTACCAGATTTGTTCTATCTTTTCTACTTTTTCGCATGTTTACATTCCCAGCACTCATACTTTTCAGGTTGAACCTGTGACAATCAGGATACTTTTCACTTTCCCTGTCTTATGCCTAAGTAACCTTATTTATTCAGTTTGAATGTGAACTGTAGCTTCTAAACCATTCTCTTGCGATAAGAGGAATCGATTCCTATGAGTGCTTCAAATTTTACTGAAGTTTTATCCAAAATGGTTCGAAGGACTTGGTAAAGACACTTAAAGCTGAGCAAAAGTCATGGATATGGAGAGGGGTCAACTCAACCTTGCAATTTTTATGTTCATTTTATTGTCGTTATAAAATGTAGTCATCAAATGTATTTACTTTTAAAAAAATTTAGGAAACATTCCTTACAATTCATAATGTCTAGTACTATTTACTCCAGTTTTTGATTTTAGTTATTGTTTATATCACTACAGCAGTAATTTTTATCAGTATTAATTTTACCAAATCACTGAACACTCTTCAATCTGAAAAAGAAAACCCTCAAGAGCGTTTATTGTGATAAGATTAAGAAAAAAACCGACTATAGCGGTACAGTCTCTGATTTTATCCGATTTCCCAGAATTCGGGTGTTCAAGATTCTTCTTGTGTAGATTTTCTGATTTTTTTCTGATTTCTAGAATCAGGCATGTTCAAAATCATATTTCTCTGTTTTTCAAGGAATAATTCAGATAAATTTCAAAAATCTTGGGTCTTAGCAAATACTGATATCCACATTTATTTTGAGCGCAGCAATAGTATCACAACAAGCTTATTATTGATAAAGGAAAAATGAAATCAAGAGATGGCTGATCTTGGAAATAATCCCACTGGGAAGGACTTCGTGTTGCTCATATTCAGCAGCAGTTTTCCCTTCAACCAACTATCATCGACCTGGAAAAACAAGGAAGACTTCCAGAAAATTGAAACGTTAAGTGCTGATAATGCAAAGACAAAAAATGTTGCCTTTCCACATTCAAGCAAAGTTTTCATATCCAAAGTAAACTTTTAAAGCTATGGAATTCCCGCCTCAGTGCATTACAGTTCCTTCGTCTCTTTTCCCTCTTTCATAAATCTCTTAGAACCAAGACTTGTTACTCATCAGTGATCAACCTAGTACTTCATATATTCCTGTAAATTCGATTTGTGCAATTTCAATCCAAAATTTTGTCCACTAGCGGGATTTAAAATAAGAATAAAGAAATCTTCTAAATTTGAGAGAAATAAAAAGAAGGAATTTTGTATTAATAAAGCGACCTCTTCAATTACTTCGATTTGATCTCCTTTCGAGAAGCACAAATAGTCTTCTGCAGCATTATAATAATCTTTTGTTGCAGTGACAACTGTACTCGTAGCATTTAATTGTTTTCCAGCATCAACGTGTCTGCTATACTTCTCAATGTAAGTGCGTGGTACCAAGCCAATTTTCCCATCTAATTTACCTCTCAACCAATCTTCGCTTACCCATTCTAGTATTTCTATTCTGTCACCTATAAATGTAGAATGATTAAAAGTGAAATCCTTCTTTATATTTGTGAAAATGCTACACAAACATAACTCTGTGATAAATCCTCCAAAAAAGGATCCTCTTTTGGAGGATTTATAGCAAAGTTATGAATATGAAATGAGTCATAGAATCTCTGTAACATGCATTAAAAGACCTGCTAGTTGTCAGCAGCTTACGGTAAATTTTAAAGACGTGACTACCAATTATTTTAATGACAAGAAGTATTAAGTTATGATTAAAAACCAAGACACTTCGTACGGACTCACTTACCTGCCCTAAAAATTAGATCGCCTTCAACAGTACTATTATAATCATACAAGGCGCTGATATATTCTACTGACGCATCACAATTCATGGGTTGTGAAATCGATGTCGATGGAACGGTAATTTTCCGAACATAATTAGCAGGAAAGATACCCTGACGTGTACCAATCGTACCACGTAACCAATCATCATTAATCCTTTCGGTAACATAAATTTCATCATTTACTCGAAACTAAATGAAGTTGCGGATTAAATATGGTCATTACAATCACTGAGAATAAAATTTAATCAAGATTTGAACTAAATTTACTAAATATCAAGAAGCAGAACTTTAATCAACATGATTTACCGTAAGATCTCCTGACACGCTGCTATCAAAATCGAATAGTGCAATCGCATAAAATGGTCTGAAAATTTTTACAAGTTATCAGTATGATGTAAAAAACTGCTTAAATCGAAGCTTTTTATCAGCCTTACAATCTATCAATCATTGTCAATTTTTTCAATATATGCGTTCATCGATATACAAAGTACTCAATAATTTTCAATGTCACCGACATCAAATCTCAAAAAACAATTCATTTCAGCATTTGAAGTCGAAGTCAATAGAAAGAAGCAATACCAACTCCATCAAGATGGAGCTGATATTCGCTTCATTCAACTGATATCAACTAGCAGATTTGCAAAACTTTGGTGCTTTAATTCTACTTTGAAAAGTTCAAATTTCATAAATAATACAGCTGATAAATAGATTTATTCTTAGTCTTTGGATAGTAGCAGAGCTACAGAAAGGGAAAAAGAGCTTACGCTTGAGAAGTTGACGAGGTTAATGTCGTGGGAAGAGGGATTTTTACATCAATATACAAAAGTGGCATGATTCCCTTCTGACCAGTCCTTTTATTAAGCCCATAGATCCACTGATCATCCACCTGATATTAACGTTTTCGTCAAGAAATACGAACATTGAAAAAAATAAGATCATCTGCTAAAATTCCTTTCAATCTCAAAAGTGTTAGAAAAACCTTTTTTTCTAGAATAATCATATCGAGAGGCTCCGCGGAAAGTTCATCAAAATGTGATCCGACAAACTCAAATTTTGCATAACCATGCGGTTGCTCTTCTTGATTCGTACCCGCAAATGCATTCGTTCCTGGAATTGCATTATAATGTAGTTTTGATGGTACTGGTTGTGATGGCGTTTTTTTAATTAGGATTTTTTCACTAAGAAATTCAAAATTGAGAATGCCTCTATTAAAGTTTGAAAATAGAAAACAAAAAATCCCAGAGACTGTTAAAAGTTTAGTCTTGGATTTTAAAATCAGATTAGACTTTTGAGTTCAAAAAAAGTTCAACATGATTTCAAATCCCAAAGACTAAACTTTTGTTAAATGTGTAATGCTATTAACCGAATGCTTATAATCTTCGGTTTTAAAATGATTGCAATCTTTTTTTTTGAGTGTTCCAGTTTCAAAATTAACAAGTTGGAACTTAAGGTTAAAAAATCTCTAATATAAAATTACCTGGAGCGAAATTAAACTGCGAGATATTGTGTGAAACTAACTGACTGGGTATACTTTTGATGTTGTCAGTTGTCTTAGGATTAAGATCAGATACATAATCTCGTGATGGAAGAAGTGAAGGATATATCGACTTCGATGCTTTTTTTATGTTGAATTTGGAAGTCGTGTCATGACTAACAGATGTACGAGCTGGTATACTGTCAACTAAATTTACAAGATTTTTTTGCTTTTGTTGGCTATCAGAGGCCTGAGCAATATGACATGCTGTTTTCAAAGTTCTTTCATCTTGCAAAATATTCAGAGCAGCTTTACGTGCCTGCAAAACATGTTATGATTTAAGCACATTTAATTAGCTCCACTTCATTTAAATTATTTTTGATTTGATAAAATGTCGATTCGCTTATTTACTCAAAAGTACTACTGAAAAATTTGCCAAAAAAATTGTTGCACCAGGGAATTATCGAAAAAATCTACTGCGAAGATGATTTTGTATGAAAAAAATTCTTCACATCTAATAAGCTTTAAAAATAACCTTAATGATTAGAATTTTAAAGTTTATTATTTACATCGAAGATTTTCAAATCTTCTTTAAAAATTGAAAATTCCTTTCCCAAGCCATTTAGTCGAATAGAAATGGTTTTACTTTTGTCAAATTACTCAAATAATATACCTTAATCTACTTATTTTTTAATATAGTTATTATTTTTGTCTGCGTATTTTATTACTTGAGAAGTTATTTCGTAACATATTACTTCGCAACATATTTACTGATGTTCATCTTATGTCTGCCTTAGCTTTTAAATGTTGATTTTATAAAATACCTACCGCTTCATTTTTAGCAAGAGATGAAACCGCTGATCGAACAGTTTCATTCTTACTTGCTGCAATCAGTTTATGCTGTATTTCGGGTTTTTTCACGACGTCAAAAACAGCTTTTGCAGTGTTAAACGCTGCATTAAATTTACCAGTTGAAAAGGTTCCTGCAAGTTTCATTTATTATTCACTATATCCAAACAAAAAGCAAACAAACAATTTTAAAAGCGCACAAATACAAAATTTCAACGCCATAATAATTGAAAAGGCCTATATGAAACTTCAACATTATAACATTAAAAGCACGGGAATAAAAAGACACAGCAATTTTTTCTTTCAAATAAAATAAAAAATTAGTTGACTAATGAAGAGTATGAATGAGTCATTGCCAGGCATTGCAGAAATGAAGACTTGGTTTACTTCTACAGAAAATTCTACAAAAAATATCTATATTTTTTTTCCTCTCATCCACTGAGGAAGAAAAAACTCCCAACATCAGCTATTCTTTTAAGTTTCGATAAGAAAACATCATAAAAATTAAAAAAAATCCTTCGCAAGCACCAAATTTAATTTCCTAAAATGATTATTTTCACTTGCTTTCATTTTCATTTGCAAGGAACTTCAATGATCAAAACGGAAATTCCGAATTTTGAAAATAAAATATTAAATTCAAATCCATTCATAAAATTTTTAGCACAATTAGCCATGTAACTACAAAATCCTCTTCTTCGCTATTTAATCGATTTGATTAAAGTAGTCTTATTTAAGAAAACTTAATAATTCGAACCTCAAAATGAAATCAAAGATGTGTAGCATAATTTATCAAAAAACTAATCCATATTTTATATACAAGGCATTTCAAAACATAATACCTCGCAATTATAACAATCAATATGTATGCATTCATAAATTCTACCTCAACCTTATATAATATTAAAATTACTTATTTGCGTTAGCTCACTGTTTTTCTTAATTGTAATTTTGTTTTTATCATTATTTGGTCCATAAAAACAATAATAATGACCATTTTTCGAAAAAAATTGCACTTTTTTAATTTTATATTTGTTAATATTTGCAGGCCACAGAAAAAAAAAACAAAAAAGCAAAAGATTATTAATTTATCCGCCGAATGGAAAGGAATTCAAAATTTTTAATTATCCAAACAAAATTTCAGCAATCTTCTTATATAACATATGACCAAACAGTCCCGGAAAAAATTACTCATGCATCGAGTCATCATCAAGTATCGAAGGCATTTTCGGTGAACGTAAGAACGGATTCCCATCTGATCCAGTGTCTTCTTGTAAGTTAGTTCTCATCCCAAATATTGGTTCATTTTGTAGATCGAAAAGAAGAGGATCTAAGTATGATTCATTCATTGATTTAGGCTCAATGATTTCTCCGAAAGTTGGCACTTCTGCTTGCAGTAAGCTTATTTCTTCTTCGCTATCCTCCTCAAAGAAAAATTTTTCGGAAACATCAACAGAAAATTCTGCATCAATAGTTTCTGACTGTTCTGTATCGTGAACTATTGTTACTGCCCCATTTGTTATCGCCTTCTGTTCATCTTCTTCCACAGATGCCATCATTCGAGTTTGCTGTTGACGGGTACGTTCCACAGCAGCAGCAGCAATCTTTTTTAAAATACGTTGTTTATGAAGATCGAACAGGGAAATAGATGGATGGGTACGCAGAACGAAATCTTTCAATGACATGACAGTATTTCGATACAGTAAAGCCAAGCCTTCACGCGCTTTTTCGTATGAGGGTTCTGGTTCACCAGATATGTCAGTACGTACGTAAGTATGTGGATCAGGAAACGGCGGTAACCAATCCGGAATATGTGGTGGACGTGGACGTGAACTGCCGACACGAAGTTGTTGCTGGGTATGTGGTGTGTGTTGTACACGTGGTGGTGCTATCACTAAAGAACCTTTAGAGGTTGCTTCTTTCAGAAACGCTGGCAAATCGGAAACTGCAGTACCTAAATCTATTAATGCCATAATTGTATCAGATGGTGTTGAAATAGTTCGACCAGCGTGTTCAGTCATTTGACGTGTAGTAGCGGCCAGTTCATTGATATACGAATTAATCATATGAGTGAGTAGTTCGAGAACATCGGCTTCAATCACTTCAAAACCAGCCTGTTTACAAATGGCGGCAACGGCTTGACGTAATACACGTCGATATACGTAATCAGCTACTGTTGGTGAATAACTTGTTGACGGCAATGAATACATTACTGTAGCTGCAAATTGCTTCGTCATTGTGACATGGAAAAAACACGGAAGTTACGCGTGATAGTTCATAAAATGATACTTTAATAAAAAGATAACAAACATAAAATGAGCGTTTAGAAAACGCTTAAAAGTGTAGAAATGTTAATTAGAAGCTTATTTTCATAAAAAGAGGAAACAACTAAATCTGGAAAAATATGTCTATCAGTATTTCACTTATATGCAATGCTTTCAGTACACAAACTTAATAATGCATAGAACACAAAAATAAATATAATTGACGCTTTTTGGAAATTCCCGGTAATTAGAACAGCATCTTCTAGTGAACCTAAACTTATCCAATCATTACTTAAAATACACAATATGAAAAGATTTATGCGTAGCAATTCTTATAACTTTAAAGTTCAAAAAGTTTAGATCAAAAATGCATCAAAGTGTTGCAAAGACCAAGTTATTTGCACGATACACAAAAAGAAATATTTAAAAGAATTAACATTAATCACATGAATAAAGTGCCGAAAATTCTAGTCGTCTAGTTTCGCTTTTGATAAGATTTTTGAGCCAGAAGTTTAAATATCCTACATGCTTGTAAGCTCCAGCGTCAGCTGCCAGCAAAGGAAATTCCAAAAGAAACCGAAATTAAAAGTACCTGACGATGATTGAAGACGAATTGCCGTTGCTGACGCTGAAGCTTCGCTTGCATTATTCTTGCTCCTCCAGGATGGTTTTTCAGGTAGAGGTGGTGGTGGCAAAGGTTTATTTGCTGGGAACATTTCCCTAAACAGCGGGAAATGGTAATTTTTTCATGCACAAAACCATTATAAATAAATTTCTACATCAGACAAAATTGGATTAATGCAAAAATAAAAACTATTTGATCTCTGAGGTTCAAACTTGCTAGAATTCTAACTTTATTAGAACCACGAAAAACTTTACTTCTCCACTTTCCTCACTTTTTATTTGCAGAATAGGCATAAGAATAACAATGTAAACATAAAACCCACTGAAAAATATAGTTTAAACTTGCTAAAATTCCAACTGTATTAGAACCATAAATTTTACCTTAGAAAAACTCTCATTACCAAAGTTTTAATTATAGAATATTCTGCGTAATTGGTAGCTATCTTATAGATGTAACAACGACTGGAAATAAGAAATAACAAAAATAAGCAATTAAGCATCAACAACTTCCAATACAATAATCGACGAAATTCACGTTATAAAAAAAATCATTTATTCCTTGAATGAATATAAATTCATAAAAACAACAAGACACTTAGGATTTCAGAGACTTCCGGTCCGATAGTTTTTTGGATTCTCATTCAATTCTTTGCCATAATTTACGTATTTGTCAAATAATTTTGCAACTTGTTAAATTGGATTTTCCAATACTACAAATGAATAGCACAGATAATGCAAAGTGAAACAAAATATGTAACAACACATAAAATAAGATTAAAAGGCGAAATTTAGAGGTAAAATAATTATGATGTACATACACTGACAATTCATTAGCAAAATTAGCAAAAAACATCTTATCTAGTTGCAAAATTTATTTTTATTATTCATGTAATGCCAAATTTCAAAAATTCAAAAGCCTCTCCGCTGACGAAAGAGTGTCAGCATCATACTTACGTGATTTTACAACATATTTGACATGTTCCTGGAAACAAATAGCGGCAGAATACATTCCGTTAATACAACTAATCGATTAAGCACCTACCAGCTAACTAATAAATTCTTCAACATAGCAATTTCCGATATGCATCTGCATATAAAATTTCTTATATCATCTTAGACCACGTAATTAAAAAGATATTTACAAGCGCCACAAGAGAGCTGAAAATCATTTGAGGTATATATTTTACAAAAGAGATATCAGAACAAACAATACTGTCTCACTATCTCAAACACAACTTATTAAAAAAGTGCTGAAATAAATTTCATTATCAAAGTCTAAATATTTCCTCAAATATCCGTTTATTTTATTTTTCCATTTTAAGTTTTGTAACGAGCGGTTACAGAACGGTTATTATAATTCAGCATTTTTTTAATAAAATATTTCCATTCTTTATGCTTTGCAAATAACTACATCTGTATCTCAAATTTTACAACGCTAACCAAAAAATATGTAAGGAACAAAATGACATAGAGAATGGAAATATTTTATTAAAAAAAAAAAAAACCCATTTATCAGTTGTACTGTAGAAAAGAACTTCGGAAGAAAAATGAATAGCCTAAATCATTAAGAATAAAGAAAATATAAAGACCATCTTAATTTCACAAAAAATATATGAAAAACGTGTGTAAATTTGCAAGTCAATAAAAATTTATTGTAATACAAATGCAGAACAAAACTTGAAGACCCATAATGATCAATAATTTTAAATTGCTTTGGTAATACTGAAAATGAAAACTATACTCTACTTATATTCAAGATAATTGAGATAAGTAAAATTTTTGATAAAGGCACCAGCGCTATAAAGAAGTTGCTAAGAATCGACAAGTAATCAACTGACCAATGTCATCATCGATTAAAAAAGTTTTCCCTTTCAGTTTCATAACATATGAAATCGACTAGAAGCAGTAACTTGCTATTTACATTCCACAATTAATTCACCCTTGTTTGATGTATTATAATATCTGAAAAAATACAGTGACCAGAGCTAAAAAGCAAAAAAAAACACATAATGAAGCCTCGTAACACTATTTGATAAGATATCAAGGTGCACTTACAAATAAATAAAGTTGCAAACGAGTATCTAAATCCGATTGAGACTGTAATTATCTATAATTCAATCCTAGATCTAGACTTTGATCAAAGTAACTGCGAACTAATTCTAAGAACCAATAACTTCCTTAAAATTTTTCATTTTTTTTTCACTTTTTTTTTATTTTTTTTTCAAAATCTTTCACTCCTAAAAAGTGAATAAACTGCAAAACCGATTCAAGAGCCAGAACTTAACAGATTTTGTGGACAAAGTGAAGGAAAATAAATTCCTGAAACGTACTCATAACCACATTGCTCAAGCCACTGTACAATAGCAGGCTTAATTTTTGCTTGTCCGTCATTCAATTTACCGTAACCAGTTAGAACAACGAGTTTCTTCCCAGACCGTCCACGTCGAAGCTCTAGCGGTCCTAGAAATCTTAAATCATAGAAGAGTACAAAAGCATAAAAAAATTAAGCTTAATTATTCGAACCATTGAAACTTCCAGCTATTATACAGTGTGTTCTTTTAAGTGGATATAAATTGTTCAAATCAGTTCGCTTAAGAACTGAAATTTCACATACCCAGAGTCCACATATCCAAGACTTATTTGGTTAACAAATATAAATTTCATGATTCCACACTATATAACAAACAAGATCACTGACTGTAATAGCATAAAGACAAAAATACATGCTTTTAAAACATACACTCTGTTGCTGCAAGCAACTGCTGTAAACTTCACACCATTAAAAAACGCAAAACATCTGAAGTGGCAAATCTATTGAAAATGTTCCTTTTAAGGATATTAATGTAAAAGAGAAACGTGTAGACTTACTATCTGCAGCATTCAGTTTGGCTTTAAGAAGTTTAATAGCAGGTTGAATATCCATATAATGCAAGTCGAGGAACAAATTGGATGTATTTGCTTCGAACAACTGTTCATTCAGCTCTTCCACACAATCTCGTGCTTTTTTCCCAAATTTCTGAGCCTACAATTTAGTGCCAACTAAAAAGTAAATTAAAAAACATTTTGTGATAACATACATAGTACAGATCAACGACGAAGTAAGAAACTCTAGCAGTATAACCAACAAGACTCCATCGATTATGCTCAGGAAAGGTAAACAATGGAACTTCACGTGATTAAAGTTTTGCGGTTTCAAATGTTTTTGGTCTCAATTTTGCCTTTTTTAAATGGTAGTAAATTACAACACACTCAACGCTACAAAATCAAAAAATCGATTTAAGAATAATTCCATGAGTTTCAAGCAAAAATTCACTATTTGCGGTTGATACTAAAGTATTTCGATCATGAACAATCTTATATAGTGAGTAATGAAACGCAGCAGTAAGGGAAGTCGAGATGTAATCATGTATTATTAAGATATAACTGGGAAGAGCTTAATATGATTTAAAATTTCGGGATAATTTTCAACTTTTTTAAAAATGTTTAAAAAATTTAAAAACACTTTCAGTTTAAACTTTTTGGGATAATTTTTTTAATTTTCATTTTGTGGCATTCAAAAACCGGCATGATTATCTGAAGTATAACAACAGAATTTAAATGCTTACAAATAATAACTACATAGGTGTAAAATAAGATTTCCGACAGGACCTTTAATTATCCCGAGTCCCATTCAATTATTATTTGTGGAAGAACCTCGTTTTGGACTTACTTCAGCGAAATAAAACATTTTAGCTCCATGTTCTCGATGATTCCTAGCTCGCAACAGCATTTCACGTCTCTGTTTGTTATATTTATCAGCTTCTTCTCGCAGTTCACATGCTTTCTTCTGAACTGGTTCTAGATCTGGCTTTAAGACCTGCAAAAATATCAGTCGACTTTTAAGACAATTTGACTATTTTATTTTCTCACTTTTGGATCTGCCAACAACTCAAAATTTCATACAATAAACGAATAATATTGATAAATTCATTAGAACCTACCGATAATCCATTGAAAGCAAAATGACGAGGAAAAGTTGCAGACATACTACTGTTAGCTCGATTAACACGAGAAACAGACGAAGATGGATCAGCCGGTGCTGTTTGAATATTTTCAGTGTCATTTACGAAAAGTTCTAAAGTATTGCGAGTAGCCTCCGCAGAAAATCTAGAACAAAAAACAATTACTCTACCTAATTAGTTCTCAAAAAGGTTCAAATGCTAATATGTTATCAAAAATATTACTTGTTATCACGAAAACATTCTGCAATTCGGTCCCGATCAACTCCTGAGTAATCATTTATCAGTGTATTTAACTGTAGCCTTTCAGCAATACTCATATGTTTACCGTTTTCCTAAAATTAAAAAAAAAACAGAAACTCAAATTCTTTATCTACATGAATACAAATTAAGAATTTTGGGAAGATTTCATCTTATAAGTTTCTGCGAGGAAGGAATATGCAGATCTTGTCTTGGGTAAGCTGAATCAAGTTTGATAAGTGTAAAATAAGTGTAAAATATTAGAAGCTAACGCTAAGAGAGAGAATTATTGACAGTTATCTACTAACCGAGGATTCATCGAATGCCAATTCATGACTCTGCAATATTCGAGTTAATTCTTCATCAGAATTAACCGGGTCGAAATCCTCATTTCCAGATTCATTATCTACTATAATGATAATTGTCATCAGTTTGGATAAATATGCTAACTAAAAATGTATATGCATTAATTAACGGTTTTTGGATTATGATAATTTTCTCGTTCAATCGATGGTATTGCAAAAACTCAGAAGAGCCAGCGATAAGCTTTCTAATAAAACAAGAAATGTATGACGAAGGAAAAAAATTATGACTTCCATGACAGTGTTTCTATTAGTTGCAAAACAAATTAAAAGAAGTCCCTCCAAGAATTTTTAATCTGAATAAGATTAGGCATGCTATAGCAAAGTCCGTCTATGATGCGAAGCTACGAAAGTTACTATGAAAAATATTCGTACAAAAAATAAATAATGTTGTAGAAATGTGAACGGTTCTCAACAATTGTGAAGTATACAATGTGAAATATTCGATTTGATATTTACTAATTTTCAACAGATGAAGTCTTGAAATATTTTCCATTTTTTAAATCATGGTCAAAAGTATTTGAGGCAATTTTTCTAATTCAGAGAATCTCCAACTACTCAAATTAAAGAATATCATTAAGCTCTTAACTTCACAGTACTGACTTGACTAGCTATATTATTAAAATCCTACTAATCAATTGCTCTAGAAAATTAACGTATGAATTTTATCGGAAGTAAAAAGATTTGAGATAACGATTTGCTTTCCCCTCAGTAAATTATATATGCTTGATGCCAGTGTCATGACATTTTTTTGCCAAATAAAAAATATAAACATGTGATATATAAATTCCAAAAATTTGATTAAGTGAAATAAAAAAAATTTTTTCTGATAATGGAAGTACATTCTACACAAAGTTTATCAATTATTTTTATAATTCATAAGTAATTTCAGCCGGTCAAAACATAATACGAAGGTGTAAATGTCTATGATTGGTATAAGAGCAAAAGGATTATTAGTATTAAAAAAAACTCGCTCGCTATCAGTTTATTAAGCAAGAATTTTTCTTTTTAAATTTACGTTGCCAACTATAGCAGAATTGTAACTCAACTATGATTAAAGGAGAATTGACTAGAGAATTAAAGCGACATTGTTAGTATGTAGTATGTAGTTTGTTAGTATGTAGTTTTTGTGATGAAAAAAAGAAACCTTTTATAGTTGACGTACTTTGCCAGCAAATATAAATCTGACGCCAGAGCGAAATCGGTAGGTCCACATATGTTTTTAAAATACTGTTATTTTCACTACCACCTTGAAGTAATGCTTCATCATTTGAAAACAAAAAAGACATTCAAAAACTCAAGTTTCCCGTGATAACAGTTCGATTCATATCATTTATATTTATTAGTTCAATGTATAGCAAAATTCAAATGAAAAAATCAGGATAGACAACCTCTCAAGATTCGGTTTTTCTATAAGAATAGTAAAATTAGTTGCAAAAATAGATAGCTCTGTGTCCTCAAAGTCTTAAACACTTTTAAAAGAAAAAAAAATACCGAAAAGTTGAATAAGTTGCTCCATCATATCAACTGATATTTCCATGCGACAATATCCTTGTGGTACAGGTTGTGGATCATAGCATTGTGTGTGAGTGCAAGGAGCCATTTTTTCGGGTATCGCTCTATTTAGTTCAAAATTTGGTACAAATTTCGGTGAACTGTTGTCATCGATCTTCTCAAATTCTGCTTCACTCCACCAATAATAAGTCTGCGATAATGGTTCCATTTCAATATTTTCGTTCTGAAACTTTTCACGATTTATAATGAACGGAAGATGGATTGAAGTTTGATCAGTACGGAGAATTTTTAAAACATATAACTTTCGAATTTTAAAATGCTTTGACCCATTATAAAAGTACTTGGTTTGTTAAAGGCGAAAAAATGTATGAATCTGAACCAGAATAATTGCGTATATAATACAATTATTCATTATCGTTTTTTTTTTTCATGAAACAATTAAAAATATCTCTTGAAAATTTCATATAGCATACATTTGTGCAGGAGACATATCAACTCTGCAGTTTTGTTATTACGGAAATTTAGGAATTTAGAAAATAGCTCTTACTTCCATTTGGCTTTGGTCCTATCAATAATGAAAATTAAAGAAACAAAACAAACCTTGCTAATTGGAGCACAGATATCCATGTAAGCGTTCATTTCTTTAAACAATGTTATTGCATTATTTAATCCAACCATATCTAGTATATGAGATAGATCGGAAGGTTTTTCATCCGGAAATAACGCTAATAACAATTCAATATCGGATAGAATATTACCATCACTGAAGAAAAAATCCTTACAATTAACAACTGGAATTCGGAATAGCCATTTTACTTGGAATGGAGATGTTAATTGTAAAGCTGACCGCGAAGTATAAATAAATAAGGGAATATAAGTTCATATATTCTCAAACACGCGGCAAGAAATCTCTATGGGATTACTGAAAATGAGGACTAACCCAGCCTGAACAGCTCTTCCCCTCATTTTCTTTTTATTGCTAAAATCAACATCATCCTGTGCTGTTTCACAGACACATTCATCGCCTACAGACAAAAGATTCAGTAAATCAAATACTCGAATTAAATCACTAGTCTGACATCCAACTGTACGCAGACTCTTCTTAGATACCTGAAATTTACTGACAAATGAAGTCATTATGTAAATGAGAATAACAACAAATAATAACAGCTGATTAAAATAAAACTGCTTAGTTTCGGAGACAACAGGAATAATAATATCAGAAATGTAATTTAAACTGATATTTTTAAAGTAATTAAACTCTCATAAATTCAAATGACGATTCCATTTTCATTAACAACTTTTTCAAACACTTTTAAAACATAAAACCTTCTCTTTCATCAGTTCAAAATGTTTACACGATTTACCATATTCACTAGCTTGTAATACAAAAAGATTTTCTGAAAAGATTCACAAAAAAGAAATACATACCTGCTGTGGAATTAAAGAAAATAATTGTTCTGAGTTTTTCTTTTTGTAAGAATTTTTTTTCGAAAACAAATCTGGAGATGAAATTTTCAGTAAATCTACTGCTTCATGTAGTACACATTGTGAATTAGTCGACGATAAAGGTGCAGATTCTTCGACCTTTTGTTCCTCAAAATGCTCTTTTCGTACATCTTCCAGATGTTCTGATACAGAAAGAGACCAAGAACCAGATACTGCAAGACAAAAGTTCTATGACTTTCTTTTTTAATTCACTCTATATGGGCTTACAAAAACTGAACTGAATAGATATAATGAACCACAATGGCAAAATTTCGAAACTCAAGATTACAAAAATGTAAAATGCGTAGATGTGAATAAAAATAAAGGAAGACTGGTGTAAAGAAACAACTTTATCCCAAACCAAAAATGATATTTTATGTTGAATAATCCGGTGCCAAAGCTTAAATGAAAAATACTATTTAATAATACCACCAAATTGGATGTGTTTCAATTGGAATGAATTAAAACAATGAAATTGAGACCATTACCCGGTAGAGAAGAATCGAGTTGCGACAGCAATAAACTATAACCATCATTTTTGTCGCTTATATCAATCAATGGCGGAATTACTCTGCAAAATGTATTTGATACTTATCATTTGATCTGATAGAAAATATAGCTCGCAAATTCATGTATAAAATAAATGGAAGTCAAAAAAACAAAGTTTATATAGCAATTTAATAGTTGGATTTTTGTATAATAAATCTCCACATTTTCAAATTCGGCCTGAGTTTTTTGAAATTATTTCCACACTTTTCTTGTACCTTATTGGTTCAAATTAATTCATTTTCATTTACCTTAACTGCGTCGGCTTTATTATATCAGCTAAACTGACTTTTTCAAAGCATTCAACCATATGCGCAATTTTATCTTCTGGCACAGAGTGTGCATTACGCCTGCAGTTAAATCAAGTTTCTGTATCAAAATCATCAAACAAAAGTGTTTCCAGAAAAAAACAATGACAATGAAGAAAAGGATAAATGAAGCATAAGTACCTAGCACACTCTTTTGCATTTTTCTTCCACTCTGTTTCCGGCTCCACGAAATAAATTTCATATAAATTCTTCAAAGCCTGAAAATATTTGCAAAATTTCCTATTATATAGTTCAATCAATCATCACTTTATTCGTGCTACCGAATTCTTTTTCCGTCTACCGCTGCACCTTTGATTGTCATAATCAAAAAAATTTTTAAATTTACCCACAATGTCTAAATAAAAGCTTCAAAATAACACTTCGAACTTCCAATATGGCTTTATCTCCGTTTCTATTTTGTTACTCTTACTTTCTATCCTACCATACCAATCTAACAGCAAATTTTAGCAATTATATTCTTTCTCCCACTTGAATAATTAATGCCATTCTTGATTTTTTTAAAAAATATTTCTTAAAATTATGAATCTTTTCAAATGGAATTGTATTAAACTATTATCCTGGAATGTTTTAATTGAAAACTAACAAGATTAATGTACGGCTTCATGTGCGTCACAAGTATGTTAGTGTTATCAATGATTATTGGCTTTATTCCTTGCAATATCGCATTTCTTGCTGAAAAAAATAGAAAATCAATCATTTACATGAAATTAAATTTTGTGATTCAAATGAACTGAAGAGAAAAAAGCGCTATTCTTTTCTTCTTTTTCCCACCTTCTTATCTCTCGAAATAGCAGGTGAAAATAAACAACTTTAATATTCATCTCGCTTATCAACTTTTACATATTATTTATAATTTTATTTTCAAATCTATTCATTATTTGCACTTAATTTGCACGTCCTCAATTACCCCGTAGGCATGTAAACTTTGACCTACTTTTAAAATTATTTCGTTTCTTATTCAGTAACAACCTTAGCTTTTACTTTTAATTTTGGAATGAATGTCAAATTTACACTACTAAATTAAAAATACAAGAAATGCATTAGAGTATGCAGTTGCGATTTCTTTTATTGCCTATACCTGCCTTCCAATTTCTCTGATGATATTCATCCAGTTTGGTAGGATCAAATCGGTACACACCATTTTGCATGAAATATTTATCGGTATTAAAAACTGCACCATCTGTTCCGGATACTAAATCGCTGCAAAAAGAACAGAGGTCACCTTAAGCTACGCAAACTACCTTACAAAGTGCACAAGTGCATTAATCTACATCTAGCAATGTAAAATGAGAAATCTACCTAACGAGTAGAAAATAAATTAATCTACCTGGCGTAAATCGTATTAAATTAATAGAAATAAATTTCGTGCTAAATAAACTAATCTATCTCTAGCATGCATAGCATAAATTAAACTATGTTTAGCATGCACTAGATTAATTAATTCATAATTTAATTTCAACTATTCATCACATATAATATACTTGGTATGCGTTAAAGTCTCTACCTAGCTAAATAAGATTTGCCAGATCCTGGAATGCCACGCATTATTACCATAATATGATGGCCATTTTGGATACATTTCCTGACATCTTTCAAGCTTGTCGTTGGTTCCCAACACTGTTCGTGAACGCTTGGAGTAACCATTTTCAGACATCAGTAACGTCTTTAAAAGTTAGTAATAGTAATAATAAATTTAAAAATATACCACAATAAGACATAATATCAGTATTCACGCGTAATATCAAAATTTGCACATAATATCAATATTTGCATAATCCACATAATCGAATCGACCAACAATTCATTATAGACCATCACCAACACGTTATGTCACAATGTCAGTGCGTTGTATCACTTTATTGGTGACGAGAATTAGCTATTCGTTTCGGAGAGGCGAAATCAGTGTAAGCTATAACCTAGTCAAGTCTAACTTCATGATATTGTCTCGTGAAGAAATAGTGGACAGATGCAGGATTAGGATATAATCAAAAAACCGATCAATCTCAAAAAATGATGTTAAATACGGATTAAAATGTAGTTTAATGCAGTGTAACTTCATGATTTTATTGTTATCTCGCGAATATTATTAACTGTAATGCAGAAAAGATGATGGACTGATGGACAGATAAATGATTAGAATATGATGAGAAAACTCAATAAATTCGAAAAAAATGCTATATGCTGATTGATTGATCAAAGATTTAGATTATAGTAATTTTAGCTAGCGGGCATACGATGCCAGTGCGAGCCTTTAAAAGAAACTATATATGTTAAACGTATACGATTTTTATTTTACGATTATCTATGTTTGAGATAATGTTAGTTAAAAAAGGAGTCGTTGTGAAAGTTAACTGAAAGGTACCGATAACGTTAAGAAATGAATTTTCAGGAACTTAACTGATATCAGTATTGGTACCATTTGTATGTTTAACAATGAGTTTTGTTGGCGATATGGAGAACCTTCCTCCAAATAATGTCGAGAATACGTATATGCGAAGGTTATCATTCAGACTTGATTAATTAGTTTAAAAAGTTGATTATTTCTTTTTTTAATTACTTATTTTGCGGAACAGAATAATACCAGACTCTTTGTCGTCTTTTTATTCCAGTTTTCTGTAAAGTATGAGAAAAACTGTCATTATCATACTGGCAAGCTAGATATTATCTTAGAATCATTCATTAATATGAATCTCACTAAGTGACGATAAGGATATTATAATTCCACTTGAAATAATCACTCATCTAGCTTCACATTTATTCATTATTTTATTGATACATTTTCCCTATGAAGTCAAAATACCCCAGCGTACAGGTTCTACCACCAGAAGCATGCTGAACTGGAATTTGAAATGCAAAGTTTACGAGAGCTAAAGCATCCAGAATATGCCAGTACAATACAGATGCTTGAAGAGCAGTTCAGGACTGAGCTAGAAGCAGAAGAAATCTCCGATCAGGTTATGCTCGCTTTATTCATAGTTTTTGTCTCTGATTCGGATCCACTTTTTAGAGAATTACTTTTAATATAATAAGTAACAATGCTAATGATTTTTTTTGTATAAAACAAGAAGCCCACTGACTCATTTTGTCTCCCTTGTAGCTTGTATTTTTTTTGTAGATGCATTGCATGACATCTCAAAATTTTTTTTGAAATAATTGATTTGCAACCGAATTTTGAATGTTAGATTTGAATGGATATTCTTGACATGTGGTCATGTCTTGAAATTTGAGATTGTGAATTACTATTTTAGACATTTTGGCGATATCACTATTTGCTTATAAGTCCTAATGCAGAAAAAAGGGATTTAGAAGTAGAATTTTACGCTTTTGTTTGTGAATGGACTTCCCAGTCTCCTTGACAGAAGTTGGTAATGTTTGCAGTTTCGCTTAATATTACGTAATCCCCATTGTCCTTAATTCATTAAAGGAGAACCTGACACACATCATGTTGGTAATGTTCATATTTGTAGCTTGAGAAGGAGCGCATCGAGGAACAGTATGAACGAGAGAAAGAAGCAGCGGAAAGAGAACTCGAAGAGCGATTAACTGAACTTATGGAGGCTATGATTCAGGAATGTGAAGAACAAAAGAAAAAGATTGATCATGAATTTCATAATTCTGATATTTCCAGTACACCGGCAAACGATTTTCCCAGCAAAAAAAGCCTTCGGAGGTGCAGCTTATCTGTTTTTATATCGCTAACAGAGAAAGAATTCCTTACCAATCAAATAAACTAAGAAAAAAAGTATGAAGAAGTGTTAAAACATTTTGATATTTTTATTTGTACCATATGTTGCGTAAATACAGCAAAAATTGATTTCCTTTAAAGTCTGCTAATTTATCTTTGTCAATTGATTTAACTGATTCGTTTATTCTTCTGGAAAATGTTGCTTTTTTCTGGAAGGGGTTAAAAAGGGTCCCGCAGACTGTAAATTTATTTAGGGCATTTAAATATTACAAACGATATTTAAGTATTCGGATAAATTTGATCAACTTTTTATTATTTTGAATTTTTAGGAGGCCGAATGAACCAACGCCATATGGTGAAAAGCACATGCATGCCAAAACACGTCCTAACATTGCGGATGCTCTCACTGATCAGGAGATTCAGGAAGATCTGCTGCTCTTAGAAGAAGCTGAATTGAAATGCGCATAGCACAGTCCTGTTTTTACCGACATAGTGTAATTGTCTTATTGTTTTTTCAGTGTGACTAGAAGTAATCTAATATTCATGGAGGATCATCATAAGAAAATCAATAGCTGCGCTAGAACTTCTAGTAGTTTCTGGCATTCTGGAATAAATGAAATCTTCTGGACAAAACGCATTTCTCGAGTTTGAAAAAGCAACCATTATCATCATGAAAAGTAATTTATTATTAGTTGTTATATGCTTCTGGGAAGTTCCAGTGATATTTTCTGCATGCTTGTTTTAAAAATCAAGGTGTTATTTGAAATTGGAAAGGACGTGTTTGTTTAGCATGCATAATCTCAAATTTTGTATAAATCGTTCATTGCTCATTCAAAGTTATTTGATGCTCCCTGTTACATCTATGATCTCAGTGAAATGCATCTTCTGTATAAAGCTTTTATTTCTGATATCAGTTCTTATAAATTCAGAAAGTAAAGGATTTATCTAATAGTGCAACTTCCTAATTTGCAGGTTCACTAATTGTTCTTTAAGATTTCTTAATTTTTTGGTGTGGTATTTTGTTTGAGATTTTCCTGAATTTAAAATTTGTAATCTCATTTGAAATTCGTGGGACCACTTAGAATCCTTAATCACTCATCTTCGTACAGTCTAGAAGGTCTCCGATCCATTTACTATATGATTCATTCCTTATTTTTCATGTTGTATAGATCATTTTGAAAACTTCATTTCATGCTTCTGTGAATGCATTTCCCAGTTTGTTTTATTTGGAACTTTATTGATCTCGTCATTATTTCTATAAATTGTCCTGATAATAGATTGTAGCGAAAAGCTTTATACTGTAGCCCTCGGCCAACATTCTGCTTCTTACAACATAGTGAAATTTTAGAAATATGAATAGTTTGGACAACCATCTTACGGCCCAAATGACATGAAAAAAATTGAAGTATCATCTAGGCTTGCTCTAATTCGTGTCGCTGTTTGTCTTTTTTTCTATTTGATCATTGTTTTGAAACCGTAAACCAATTTCAATTGTTATTGAATGTACTGTTTTTTCAGAAACTTTGTTCATGAAAGCTATTTTAACTTTTATCTTTCTCAAAATGTGACATATAGCGTTTATCTTGTTTTCTCTATTTCACAAGAGTGTGCTTTTATCATTGCGCCGCAGTTTTGAAATTTAGAAGTTGAATCCTACAATAAGTATTTAGAGAACTTTACTCAAATCACTTATAAATAGTCACTTTGTTTTCTTCAAGTAAAAGCATCTATGAAATTTCGACTTATCGGCAGAGAAAGATGTGAAATATCTGGACGATATCAAATATTTCAACTATGAGGTTGAAGACTTTTTCGAAGAAGAGTATTAGGAACAGGAAAGAAATCTCCCGTCCCACTTATCCAACATAAGCTTAGCCTTTACCTTTGCGTTTATTTCAGAACCGCCGAGCGGTAAAATTGACTCATTCGGACCGCAAAATGGCTACATGAGGGCCGCGATATGTGTTGAGACTGAAGATCATTCGACACTTTTTTGTCGCGTGGTTGGTATGTATTGAATTTACAGGGAACAATGACTAGCTGAAGTGGGGGTGGGATGATATTAGAAAGATTACTGCGCTAGAGGAGTGAAGCAGTTGAAGATGTGAGGTCACGTGAGTTGACATTCATAAGTGTGTCGCGTCATATCGTCCACTGATTAAATTATCTAACTAAATAGGCACAGAAGTTTGCTTGCTTATCTCTTTTTTATCTAATCTCATTTGGCGTATTGTTTTCTGTATAATGTGATCGTTTTGGAATGATAAATTATGACATCTAGTAATGATGTCTGTCTGTTCAATATTCAACAGTATATTATTACACGATGTCTTTTTTGATTCACTTTCATTCATTTGGTTTCAGTATTGGCCTGTTCATTTGATATCTAATATTTAACGTGTCTATGATGTAATATCTTTTTTAAGTCATTTGGTTAATATTTGAGATTTAGAGCTTATGTCTTCTTCTCATGTATATAATGTTACAAATTTATGTTTTCGCAGGATTTCCTATTCGCAGTTTTAGGATAAGAATAATAGAGGGAGTAAGTATACAATACAAGAAGAACCAGGTGAAAATCAACATAAAATGCGTGATTTGAAATGAGATGACGATATTCAGGTCTGCCACAGTTTTCTGCGTATTTAAAAATGTGTTGAAGAATTCAATGAATTTAGAAAGAAATTTCAGAAGAGAGAAATGAATACAGCTATTGACGTGAATCAAGGAATTACTGGTCAAAAAGGTGTTACTATAAAGAACTATAAGACCAATCCACGTCTGAGTAAGATTTTCCCTTCTGTACTTTCAGCCCATAAAATTTATAAATCTGTATTAATTTATTTTTGCAGCTTATAAGACAGTGACTGGTGTCAATGGTCCATTAGTTATCCTGGGTGATGTAAAATTTCCCCAATATGCCGAAATTGTACAATTGACACTCCCTGATGGGACGAAACGTTCCGGACAAATTCTTGAAATCACCCGCAATAAAGCTGTCGTTCAGGCATGTTTTTTCTTGGATATGCATGGTCATCAGATAGTTTTTACAGATTAGTTGTAGTAGTTATTTTTTAAGTCGTGCTTGTCCTCGTACTTAGCTGTTTTTAGTATAGGAACTTTTAATACGGAAATAAGTTATTTCAAGTATTCGAAAGTTTGGTTTTAGTTTATTCCCTGCTTTAATTTTTATTAGATCTGAAAATCTACTTTTGAAAATATATTGGAAATCAGGATTTCCTTGTTAATAACTATTAGTGTGATCTTATACAGCATCTCTGTGTTTGGTGTAAGCAACTGTGTCTTCATCTGTATATAAGAATTTTTACATGAAATGAAGTTGTGAAGTTGATGGTATGTATACTGGGTCAAAGTTCGTTGTTTTGTTTGAAAAACAAGGTGAAGTTAACCATTTGAAAGATTTAGATGTACAACTAATGTAAAAAAAGCGGAAGAGGTAGAATGAAAGAGAATACTTCTTACAAACGATTAAAGCACGCACTAGTAAATTAAGACAGGTTAAAAACAATATACTGATTAGAACTTTTTAAAAGAATATGTTAGAAGTGCATACGCTAATTAAATAATCGGTTAGAGCAATAAATTGCTTCAGGTTTTCGAAGGAACTGCAGGAATAGATGCTAAAAATACGTCTTGTGAATTCACAGGCGACATTCTGCGAACACCTGTCTCGGAAGATATGCTCGGTCGCATATTAAATGGTTCTGGCAAACCAATCGATAAGGTGGATGTTGTTTGTTCATTGTTTTTGCGTTGACTTATTAATTACAATAGATCTATGGATCTAGCTTTTACAAAATTTGGATGAAGACATTTTTATTGAATTGCTTCAGGGTCCACCAGTTTTGGCGGAGGATTTTCTTGACATCAACGGTCAGCCAATTAATCCACGATGCAGGATATATCCAGAGGAAATGATCCAAACTGGAATTTCTGCGATTGATGTAATGAATTCAATTGCTCGCGGTCAGAAAATACCGATCTTTTCTGCTGCTGGTCTTCCACATAACGAAGTAAGTTGTGCATGCTATGCGATTACTTTTTGAATTCAACTCCTAAGAAATGTCTCTGATGCTTTGATTATTGGATTCTTTAAATAACCTAATATATCTTGTTTGCTTCATAAAATTGCAAAAAAATTGTGAGTACCAGCTGCGTAATATTCAGTTTGTTTCCGGACAACTTATAGATTGCGGCACAAATTGTACGTCAAGGTGGACTTGTCAAATTGCATGATAAACATTATGATATCAAGAATGATAACTTTGCTATTGTTTTTGCGGCAATGGGCGTTAACATGGAAACTGCACGATTTTTTAAACAAGATTTTGAGGAAAATGGTTCCATGAAGAATGTTTGCCTGTTTTTGAATCTTGCTAACGATCCAACGTATTTTTTTCTGTTAACTTATTTAAAATTTTGAATGTAGATGTAATCAGTCCTAGTGAGTTGCAGCGGGAAACACATCAATGAGAACTAAATCGAAACTTGTCATGCATGTTTTTGTACTCCGTAACAGTAAGTGTACTGTAAGGACTGCATTGGACTGAAAACTTGATCTTTGCAACCTTTTTTTTTAATTTTTAATGTTTATGACAAAAAAATTAAAACGATGCAAATTCTACATAAAGCAGAAGGTAATTCTTCGATTTTGAGGTCAATGCATTATTGTTTGGATTTTTAGCATCGAACGAATTATTACGCCTCGCCTTGCATTGACCGTTGCCGAATTTTTGGCTTATCAATGTGAGAAGCATGTATTGGTTGTTTTGACTGATATGTCTTCATACGCAGAAGCGCTTCGAGAAGTAAGACTGAATTTTTATAGTTTTAAATTGGTTTTGAAAATTTCACGTTAAACATTTTTAAACAGTCAAAGTCGAAAATTAGTGCATCTCTTACAGGTATCAGCAGCTCGAGAAGAAGTGCCTGGACGGCGTGGTTTTCCAGGTTATATGTATACTGATTTGGCTGCCATATATGAACGTGCTGGTCGTGTAGAAGGGCGCAATGGATCGATTACTCAAATTCCCATCTTGTCAATGCCCAATGATGGTTTGTTCTACTCTTGTAAGAATGGCATGATAATTGTGGATTTCTTATTTCAAGTTGATTGACTTTTGTGTCACGAGCATAATGCTGTCCATTAATTTTTCGGAAAAAAAGAAGTCTTCGTTTATGCGATTACTTGCGACTGCAAGGCCACATTTCAAAATTCATTTGGGTAATTTATCTTTTCAGATATCACACATCCAATACCTGACTTAACGGGTTACATCACCGAAGGACAAATCTATGTAGACCGCCAGTTACACAACCGTCAAATCTATCCACCGATCAATGTACTTCCATCATTGTCACGTCTGATGAAATCAGCCATCGGTGAAGGAATGACGCGTGAAGATCATTCGGATGTTTCCAATCAGTTATACGCATGTTATGCTATTGGAAAAGATGTGCAAGCAATGAAAGCTGTGGTGGGTGAAGAAGCTTTATCTTCGGATGATTTGCTTTACCTCGAATTTTTGACGAAGTTCGAGAAAAACTTCATATCGCAGGGTTTGTTTATATTTTTATTTCTTAAATGCATTTAGTTATGTAATTTTTTTCGCTGTGTGAAAATGGATTCCTTTTGAAAATAGCCTTCAACGGCGCTGATTTTTTTTTCGTTGAAACTATAAAGCTGAAATCAAAGATGTCGATATTTACGTTTAACAGGTCATCGTGCGCAGCAGTATTTTTTAAGCAATTGACCATGCTTGAAACTCTATAGAGGTCTGGAAAAGCGTAAAATCTAAATATAAAAAAAAGAGAATGAGATATGAAAAGTGATCTTGAAAGTCTATCCATGAACTAGGATTATAAAATAACAGTTATTAGTTTTCTCTAACTACCAGTTTAGTTTCATTAAATATGAAATTGTGTTTCAGGCAACTATGAAAATCGAACAGTTTTCGAATCCCTAGATATCGGATGGCAGCTACTGCGAATATTCCCACGCGAAATGTTGAAGCGTATTCCTGCATCAATATTAGACAAGTATTACCCAAGAGGAGGAGGGGCAAAGGATATCAAAGAAATAAAGGGAAAAGAAGAAAATAAAGGAGCGCTTCCGACTAGGAATTAAACATCATTTTATTAATCAAAGCTGCAAAATTTTTTGCATTAGAGGATAGCATCTTTTATATGTTAATATTTTTAACGATTTCATTTCACTTCAATTCCTGCTGTGGTTGTGATCCATTCATTTACATCATATGGTCTGCTGTAAGCTCGGAAATTAAAAAATTCCAAATCTAAATTTCGAATTGAAAAATGCAGTTGCACATGCAGTTCTGAATTGACACTGGAAAATTTGCCATGACAGTAATCTATTTCACTTTATCGAGTTGTGTTTTTAAGAATAATTTTAGTTACATAGTAAAAGATTTTATACTGATGGTAGATTATTTTTTTCTCGCTACATATGAATTTTCGTTTTTGTTTAATATTTATAGTGAATAGACGTTTCCACAGATCAACTTAAAAATATTAATCCTAATTTTTTATCTGTTCAGTGTATTAATGTTACATTCCAGTTGATTAATGCCACAGTAATTGTGATATCTTTGCTCTGCAAATTTCACAGCAATAAATTTTTAGGTACATTTCGTTGAATACAAATGCATGTATCATGCTTTTTAAACGGCTTCCTACGTTTGTTTTCAATTAGAAGCCATGATTAAAAATGGGGCGTTTAAGCAGTAAACTTTCAGTTTTTAAGTACCTTCCTGATTTTGGTCTTTTTTTTAAACATTAGTAGAGGGAACCGAATTTGCTGAGCGAGCATATAAGTCAATTTTGTATATTTCTTTACCATCCCTTTAGTGGGAATTCACTATGTGCAAGGTGATCTGTGATTCGAGTATTCTGTGCATGTCGCTAATTTGCATGTTGTTAGTTATGATTTACTTGCTATGTAGCATCTTCCTGCAAGATAAATTCATGATATGTCAACAAACTATAATCGATAAATAGTCAAGTAATTTCGTCGAGTATTTCAGATATACAATGTTCGCAATCCGTAAAAAGACTAGAAGATACAACAAAATCAACAAAAATGAGCAAATTATTTTCACAGCTTCTCTTGGAACCTTTTTCAGAACAGCAAGTCTATGATTGCTGTTATGAAAAAGGTTGTGGGAGACTCAATCATGGATTTGCTATTTATGATTTGTAAAGTTCTTAGAAAGTTAAGTTGATTTATTTATTCTTTATTGGAAATTGGTAAAAATTTGTAGAGTTCTCCGTAGTAAGTCAAGAGTTATACAGTAACATAACAAATCTCTAATAAAGCCCTCCTAATTAGTGATAGTGTGTTTCCTTTAGATGATCGGACAAATGTGTCTTTGAAATTAGAGATTAATATCGAGAAGAATCAAGTCTGATAAACACGATTATACACTGATATGACACAAAATAAATACAAGCCGTTCGAATTGACTTAAATAATTTTGTCTAAAATATGGTTCACATTTTGAGTCTGATCACAAGGTCATTGGTACATTTCCCAATTCCAGTTGTTGTGTTATAGAGTTGCTCGTACAAAACTTACAAAGCATTATGCACTAAAATTTTATAAATCTACGAATTCTGACCTTAAAATCATTTACCTCTATCTTTAGGGTCAAAAAATTGATTTTTAATTTCAGGTATTTCCCTCCAAAATATTGCAAGAGAAAGTAAGCTAAAACAAAGATAATATACTAGTTAATAGATGAGGATCAGAAGATCATTTTGGTGATCGAAGTAGGTCCGTCCGTCGTGGTAAGCGCAGGAGGTCTCGAAGCGAAATATTGCATGTAGGTACCGGTATACGGTCATCGATTGGTAAGTATGGTCTGATGTCAACGGCTGATTAGGATTGAGATTGGGTCGGGCGTCTGGTTGGGATAGGGTTAGCGTGAAGCTTCCTTGACGTTGATAACTGGTAGATTCATTCCTTTCTCCTTCTTATCAACCAATACTTCATGATCATCATTACATTTGTGAAGTATTGTTATTCTCTGCCTGAATAATTATAATTTTCAAAATTTTCCAAAAAAGACTGTGCGCTCTGATTGTTAGCTCCTTCCATGTTCCATCAACTTGAGTATTTTTTAGCCGTTAACATTATGGAAGAAGCGAAAACAGAACAGCCAGAAGTAGCAACAGAAGAAGTGGTAGAGGCGGAAACAAAGACAGAAGCATTAGCTGAAACAGAAGTGGGGACGGAAACGGAAGAAACTTCATTGATGACAGCAACAAATAAAGAAATTGATCCCAAGACGTCCAACTATATTAGACTTCGCGGTTTACCATTTTCGGCTAAAGAAGATGATGTCCGAGCATTTCTAGAAGGTCGTAATCTTTTCAAAATTAAATTTGGGGCAGGTTTTAAAAAAGGTTAAAGGAGGTTTTATTTCGTTAAGTTTTTTTCTAAGATTTTAAGGATGCTCTTTGTGTTTATGACAGATTGGGATTAGAAACACACATATCCAGCCTCACTATCTATCCAGCCTCTTTTGCGTGACTGGGAATCTTTTTTTGAGTGGTATATCATTGCGGTCTTAATTTATTATTAATTTTTTTCTTTAAAAAACTTGTAGGAATTTGTATAATATTGTATAGCAGTAGCAGAGCTATTTGCAATATGTTCATGATTTTCAAAATAAACGACTTGGTTTTAGGTTTGGAAGTAAGATCGGTGACATTTACATTGACGTCGATGGGTCGGGCGAGCGGTGAATGTTATGTTGAATTAGTGGATAAAATTGCGGCAGCGGAGGCAAAGCGCTTTGATAAGCAAGAAATGAACAATCGCTACATTGAAGGTCCCTTTCTACTTCTTTTAATTGGTGGTTCTCAGTTTTAGATTATGCGGTATTCCATATTTTGGAATGTTCTGTTTTAAGGTCCAGAGCTGAAAAAACTTTTTCTCATTTTTGTATTTGTAGTGAATGGTGACACATTCAGTAAAAAAATTAATTAAAAATGAAACTTGTACCAGTTAAGATTCTCAATTTACTTAGATTTATCTGAATTATCCGAATATGTTTGTAGTATTCAACGTAACAGAAAGTGAAGTGGTTTGGATGACGCGACATAATGTGATTCGTAGAGGTGATCAGGATGCGCCTTATAATTTTGTTGTTAGGCTTCGAGGCATACCATTTAGCGCAACGAATGATGATGTGAAAGAATTCTTCAGTGGTATGTTGTTTTTAATATTTCATAGGTATTATTTCAAAAATATCTATTGGTAACTGAGTTCCAGAGATTTTCCGAGATAGAATGTGTAGTATTTGTTCCGACAGTTTGTCGGTCCAGTTGTACACAGGCAAATCGCCTTGTTTTTCTTTAATTCAAGAAAGGGCTTAGGTACAAGCAGATTTTAGGAATTAACGTCATCAATGTAATTTCACACATTCTGCTTTCTGGATCATCTAGTGCAATTTTCAATATTAAATATTTTGCTTTAATGCGAATCGGTAATTTCATATTTCTGGAAGGGAGGTGTCTCCTCATTGCTCATTTATTTGGTGGTGTAAGTATGGGATATAGGATTGGAAGTGGCAGATGTTGTCATCGACAAGGAGCTGGGGGGTCGCCCATCTGGGGAGGCATTCGTACGGTTCGCCAGCAAACAGCATGCGGAGATGGCCCTGGAACGGAACAGAAACAACATGGGTTCGAGGTATGGGCAAATAAACATCAAATAACGTGCTACTTACCTCTTTTTAATGAAATTACGTTTTAAGCAGCAAATGATTTATTGTCTCAATTATCGCGATGACAGAAGTAATTTGGTTACAATGATACTGTTGACAATCGAATACTGCGTTTTAAAAGTTCGTAGTAATGTTAATTTCTTTAAGATAAAAATATCTGCCAGCACTAATGGGCAGTGCAATTGTTTAATGAAGAAAATTAGGTTTTTCATATGAGTTTCATCCGTCAGCAGTGTTCTTTCATAAACGGTATCATAGTAACAATATGCATATTGCTGCTTTATATATAAAGTTTTAGATCTTTGTGAGATAGACCATTTTTTGATACATGTGATCTCAAAAGTTGATCAAAACGATTGAAAATTTTTCAGATAAATAGTTTATTTAGAAAGTTTCTTATTCGTTATTATTAATTATGACGAATAATTGTTCTTCCTTTTTTAATTTAATTTTCCAAATTACCTTAGATAATTCTGTCGGAAAAATTCTTGCTTAAACTGATATGTTAGATTCTTTTGACACAATATTCATTTTCAAGTTGAGCTATAGAAACAAGCAGCAGTAAAGTAGAGACTGAAAAATGAAATAACTGGGAAGCAATATAATTTGGTTCATAAGGCATTTTCCAAAAATTTGTCTAGTTTTTGTTTAAATTCTCTAGATATGTGGAAGTTTTTCGAAGTTCTGGCGATGAACTGGAGAAATCAAGGGAGGGTCATATTGCACCACCGACATCTTTGCGAAGTCTTGCCATTGAGCGCAGTTTTCCAGCACCACGTTCCGAACCTATACCTCTGCGCTTTGCTACAGCGAAGCTTGGTGGTGTACGTCCATATCGGTAAGGAGAATCGATGTCTGTAGAATAAGGTCCTAGAAAATGGAAAATTAAAATCTCATCTATGGGGAAGATGAGAAGTATTTTGAGTACCATCTTTTGTGTGTCACCACTCTCTGTTAGTTTTTGAACTTTTGATGGATTATATCGTTTTTTACTGATGCATTTTCAATAAAATGTTCGAATTTTTATTTTTTACTGTTCCTGTAATATAAGTAAATTTATTTTAGAAGAGAGGAGTATGGAGGTCCGTTAAGAAATATTAGTATGGGTCGCCCTCGTGCTGGTCCCTATGATGTGCCGTACAGTCGTTACTCGCGTTTTCAGGAATACGGTTATGAAGATGATTTTGATTGCGATGATCCAGCCAAAATTTACATGAGAGGTAGTTATTTTTACTGCACTAAATGATACCTAATTTTGTAAATGATACTTTATTATGAAATAACAATTATGCATTCAATCTTATTACTTGTTAAGGTCTTCCGTACAGTGCAAATGCGCTTGATATCGAAGATTTCTTCAAGCCATTGAATTGTGTCGAAATTCAGCTGGGTTTCAATGAGGATCGCCGACCATCTGGTGATGCATGTGTGATTTTTGGAACAGTAGCTGAAGCACGAGACGCAATGTCTAGAAACAAACAATGCATCGGTAATCGGTAAGAACACTATGAATTACAAGTTTTCATGCAACGTTGGTGCACACATGCGTAGCTGAGTTGATTCATAATAAAAGATGTGGATATTGGTTAGGTCACTTGATAAATTATCTTAAATATTTATTAGTTCGGATAGTTGGGAAAACGAACGTTAATATAAAAGATAAAAAATCTTTCACAATAGTCCTCTCCCCGTATGCTTAGCCCATTTTTATATACTAAGATGCAGTTGTTCCTTTTTTCACATTTCTAGATTAGCACTAAACGTGCGAATTGTAAGAATGCATATTTGCTAATTTCATTATTTTACAGATATATTGAACTGTTTACCGCCGCTGATGTACCAATTACGCAAAAATATGTCATTTATCGAAGAATTGGTGGTACAGGTGACTATCCGGCAGCAGTAAGTGGTGGAGGTTCTCGTGGTCCAACAGCACTAAATCGTGTTAATTGTAGTGGGTATGATGAGTGGGCTGATAACGATGTCGGGAATGGACGGTACTCAAATATTCAAAACAAACCAATTTCATTGAATCGTGTTGGATATGCGACGAGTGACCCTGCTGAGGTTGGTGGAGCAGAGAGCTGGTCGGATGGTGATTCGGGTAGAAGCTGTAAGTTAATTAAAAATTTCAAATTACTGTATTTTAAGATTAAATCAGATATTATAAAACTTCCACTGCATTTAGAAATTTAGTTGCTAGTTTTCTTTGAATATCAGAGCAGTAATTCAAGTGAAATTGCTGATTTGTTTTCTTAATTTTTCTTTTGAAATAAAAAGCATTCAAAATTCTTATTTAGATTCGGTATATAATATTTTAACCTGTTTGGCAAATATTTCAGATACGACAGGATATAGTAGCTCTACGGCAGGTTACAATGCGAGTTATGCTACAGGAGGACAGCAGGTTTGTTTGTTCTTTGATTTCATTCTGAATGGTTCGGGCATGTGTTCGAAGTACTTTATAAATGTGAGATATATCACTTAAAATATTGCAAAAATTTAACGACATTTTTCATTCATTTTTGAGCCGAACGTATATGGAAGAGTTTCAGAAGTTTATCAGTTTTAAAGGATTATTATTGAGTGCTTGAACGCCACTAACTTTTACTTTTTTCGCTTTAATTTGACGAGGAAAATTAAATTTACAGTATTATAACGATGAGTATGAAGGCAAACAGTCTTCATATGGCTACCAGTGGGGTAGTGCTGGTGGTTCGGTGAAAACCAGTTGGTAAAAACTTCAGAAAGCTGAAGATTCCTGAAATTGCAGCAATCAGTGTTCTTGTCAGTAAGGGTTTTTCCGGTAAAGCTAACATGCCAATTTTATTAGCAGTTAAATGTTTGATCTTGTTTGCTTGTTTTAATGATTCTCTTTATATTTTTTCGAATTTTTTTTTTGGAAGAAAAAGTACTAATTGAAATCTCCCATTTAATCTTTGTCGTCTTTTACCGTTTACTATCCCGAATTGCGACTTCATTAAAATCATTAAAACAGTTTATTCTCTCACGCTTAACTGTTAAGTCAATGAAATTCAAAGCTCGATTAAATGTGTTTTTTTTCCTTTTGATATCTGAGCAGTTTTATTGCTATTTTATAAGTGTTTTTCATGTTCTGATTATTCCATATTTGTGTTTCAAGACTCCTGTCAATTTTAAAACTAAAATGGCTACTGCTTTATGTTTCGAGTAAATTTTCAGGAAAAAACTCTTTTTAACATCTCTTTAAATTTGCAAATACGTCGGAGTTCTCCAATTACAGTATAATTCAACATGGCGTTGTTTGATCTCGTCGTTATTCCGTCGAATAAGTGTGTCTGCACTTTTTATCAATTTTCTTCCTAAGACAACATTCTATTCGTTAGTAAAAAAAATTTTCCATAGAGTCTTTTTGTTGACTCCACTTCATGGCTATTGTATTTAATCACATTTGTTTGTTTTTGAAAAATTAAAATTGTTTTTTGATATGTGTCGTATTCCACATTCTTACGTTTTGCTCATTTGATGGATTGAGGTTACTAGTAAAACTCTGGCAGTGCAAACTTGTAGAAAGCGACTGTATCCAATCCATTGTAGAACGAAGTGACCCTCAGCATTTCGGTTTGAAGATTTGAAAACGAGCAGACAACTTTTTGACTTCAGTGTTTCCTGAATTGTACTACGAAAATGATGGAATTGTCTATTATTTCTGAAAAAAGGAAAAAAGAAAGTAAAAGAGATCAAAATAGCGAAGAAAGTCTAATGTGAAGTATTCCATGGAAAGAGGGTGCTGGAAATGCTAATTATAAATATTCTGGAAGCGGGTGTGGTTTGTTTTAAAAAAAAAATATTTCTAAATAGAGTAATCTATGTATTCGAAAAAATATTAAACAAGTACTTTTGGGAAAATTGGGAAAATTATTTTCGCCCAATTCTTCGCATAGAACAATCGATGTAAAAAATCGCTTATTTTTGATTTAACATCAAACGTTATCAAACGTTATAAATTTGATTTTCATCATTATTGTTAGTTCTTCCTGCCAAATACCAAAAATATTTGGGTTTATATGGCTAATATTACCTGTAGGTAATTATACGCTAAAATTTTGTATAAAATATTTGAACGAATATTGAATGTTATAATGCAATAAATTATATTAGCAAAAAGGATGAAAAGTAAGAAAAGTTTTTTTTTTATTTGATTTGCATAAAGAATAAAGATGCAAATATCTTTTTTTTAAATGCTATATTTTTAGTTGACAAAACGGTTAGTTGATCTTAATTTTTGTAGTTCTTCATGGATTGAAATGGTGATTTTGCTGATCCAATGTTTTATGATAGGTTTTGCTGAAGCTGTGTTTTATACAAGAGGTATTAATTTATGCCTCGTACTAATTTATTGATTTATATTAATTTAACATATATCGGTTTCGTGTTTTTTATTTAATTAATCAATAGTTGTAACTTCATTATTACATAATTTTTATTATATATTTACGGAACTTCTTGAGAAAATGATATTTTTTCATTTCTATTTTTCAAAAAATACTTTTATTAACAGCAATCATTAAATTATTACTATTTTTAATAGTAATAATAGCAGGACAAATTCCAAGTTTACAATGTACGCAACATTCGTTTTGCTCTGAACGTGACCGTGCTCGCTGGTTAGAAAGACGTCGATCATATCAAATTTTAGTTGCACTCAAAAAGGAAGCATTCAGCCAAGTGTACTTAATTTTTAGTATATATTGCTGAAATTTTCTTTTTTTAAATACATTTGATCTGTTAAATTCATTTATTCATATATTTGAATTATTCGATGTTCAAATACAATAAGGTACACTAATTGAATTGATTTGAATTAAATGTTATATAATGTGTATAATTATTTCTAAACTGATTTGCTTCCTTCTCCTCACTTTCTTTATCTTTTCTTTTTTAGTAAACAATTAATAAGGCTTATTTTTGAAATTTTATATTCCTTCTTTTTCATGTAAAAATTTATATTAAAATTTTTTTACTGATATTTGTTGTAATTTATTTGTATTAAAATTCAATCAAATATGTATTTCAACGTTTGTATTAAAATTCAGCCAAATGCCTATTTCAACATTATCAATTAATCGTTGGCATAATTACCTATGTTACGAATATCAAAGTGCAGCATTTTTGATGGAAAATGCTAGTGAACGTTGGCAAATAGCATGTTTATGGAATGGTAATGATATAAATGGGACATGTGCGCCAGCACCATCTAATAATAAGCCAATTGTTTATATTGAACCTGAAAAATGGCGACAAATGCTCTATGTTGGTTAATTTAAAAAATGAAGAAAAATTCAAATTGATTAAATTTACATTGATTAAACTGGACGTTTTTATAATTGCTGACTAAAAAATTTTGTTTAGAAATTTCGAGAAAGTATTGGTTGCACATCAAGAGCCATGTGGGAAGCCGAAAAGGTAATTTTCTTATTTTTAAAATTTACAAATTTTTATCTGCTTATTAAATTTAAGCATAAATTATCTATTTGTATTATGTAAGTTAATACTTCTCATAAAGTCTAGAAAAAATTTTTTCTGCAAGTTTTAATCTAGAAAAAAAAATTTCTACCACAAAAGAGCTGTTTTATTCGAAATTGCTTTCTCTCAAGATTAAATCATATACAGGCTCAAGAATTGTATGTCTGTTCAGAGCGGTGTTTACATGGCGGCATTGGCTATATGCCAGTATTGCTTATCTCCATAACACTTATGATATCCATCACTTTGTTATGCTTCCGAGGATAATTTACTATGAAGAAATTCATTGTCATCAAAAACATTACTGCAAGACAGATATATAAAATACTTATATAAATTTTATTGTAACATGCAATAATTCCATATTTCTTTATATCCGGAAATTTTGCGTATTGAAAACATCTTGCATTTTATAAAACATAGCATACTAATCGCGTATTGACCATTACAGTTTGTAAATTGTGTAACTTATTTTTTTTGAAATCTGTCCCACTCTATCATAGCATCAACTTTTTGTGTTTAATTACATATTTTGATAAAGGAAAAAGGAAGCAAAAGTTAAGAAAAGAAATATGAAAGACAAAGGGAAAAAAAGATTGAAAAAATTAAGTTGGATGATAAAACAGAATGAAAAATCTAACAATATAGCGATAACCTTATCAAGCTCATCTTCTTAGGTACAAAATTGTATTTTTTTTTTCCTTGCTATCTGAGAACACAAAAATTAATATGAAATTACACATACGCACACACACACATACATACATACATACATACACTAAAGTTTTACTTATGCATAAACTAATAACACGCTAGAAAAAGAATTATGAAAGAAAAAACAGTGCGTCTCAAACCACATCTTGGCACTCTCGAAATCATTGATGCATCCAACAAAGTATCAACCCTGTCAAGAAAAAGGGAAGAAAAATACACTTAAATGGTCAATGACAAAGAAAGTATTTTAAAATAAGCGCACGAAAGAAGTTATGGTAACTTTAAAATGTAAAAATAAAAATGAACAATTTCAAACTGAATAAAGCTCAAAAAATTTTGTATAGAATCTAATGTGTGTCCTTCACGTAAAGCAAAAATTTTCGTACAATCCAGGCGTCCCTACAGTTATTTTCGCTCTTTTTCGGAAGAGCTGCATAAAAGCACAATTACTGTAAAGTTTAAAGAATGAAAATAATTTAAAATTTAGAAAACCAAAAAAGTAAAAAATGTTTTCTTGTTTAAAATAAAGCTCAAGCAGTTTTGGAGACAAAATGAGGCATAAGGCACTTTAATATTGGCACAACAAACGGTTATATAAATACCAGGAGATAAACTGGCAATTTCATTATGAATTCTCAAATTCCACCTTAAAATTAGGATTTTACTATTCGTTTATTTTATTTCAAATTCTCACGGAAAAATAAAAACAAAAGAATAATGATAAGACAAATTTGTAGCACAAGCAAAATTACAACACACAGATATATATGATATAATATTATATTCAAGCATTTTAAGTCTTATAAACTTCATGAATTGGTCTTTTCATTTTGGATAGCGACAAATTTTGAAATCAAGGTATTGGATAAATTTCGGCGATAATCATCCATTTCTTCAACTTTCTGCAAAGTGAAACTATTCTTAAATTTCTGCAAAGTAAAGCTATTCTAAATTAGTTCATATACTTGAAAGATCTGTGATGTTGTTTTTTTAAATTTTTTCTGTTTTTTATTTTAATATTTTGAAATTTGCCACACTTGCAGGTAAGTAACTATTAATTCCTATTTTCAAAGTACATGTTGATGTTACATTTGTTTTGGCTTGAACTAAAATCAATCAAAATATGTAGACAATGGATGGAAAAACAAGGACGGATAAATTTAATCCTTTCTATTTTGAAAAAATTAAATGCCAAACTGACCTTTCCGAGCAATTCCAATCTCCTTTCCATACCAGCAATAATAGTATCTCCTTTAATTGCATTATCGTGATGAATATTTCGCTCCTTCAAAAGCGCATCCACAATATCATATATCCAAGTTGAATCTAGATTTAGAGTCAATGTGCAGAACTCAAACTAAAAACATTACGAATCAAAGGAATTCATTAATGTAGATAAGACTGTGTTTTAAAATGTTTATAAACATAAATTCGCAATTGTATTGATGTTCCTAGACAGTAAGTCAAGAAAACAAGAATACTCAAGATATTTGAAAAGAAAGAGAACTTATGAAAACAATCATCAACCATAAATCTTGCAAGAATCAAAAGATAATTCATAAATCAAACACCCACCGTCAGACCATCTTGATCCGGTCGAATCCATTTTACCTACAAAATTAATAGATAAATTAACTAGGAAACGAGGAAAAATTAAATTTCTACTATAATTACAACAGCAGCCTGTAGCTAAAACACAGGAAGCGAATATACGCACAAGAGTATTCCATTTTTCTAAGTTTTAACATCCAGTTCTTCTGTCCTAAGAACCCTCAATCAAATCATTGCAGCTAAGTTGCAGCAAACACCGAATTGTTACTTTATTGTAATGAACTGTCGCTTCGTGATACATTGTCAGATTATGAAAAGGGAAGGATATACCTAAATGCTTACTTACCTAAATGTATACATAATAAATATATTCGATATGGCTCTGTTCATATTATCCTGTACGGTCTCTACTGACAGTACGGATATCGAAGAACCATGTCTCTGTCACAAATATATCTTCGAAAATGTAGCGTCATAGCACAGTTATTAGTAGTTTCGTTGAGGACATTCTGCATAAGCTATTAATGAACACTGATGGAAGCGAAGGATATATATGGGAGAGAACCGAAGAGAGGGAGGTTATAGCTTTATTATGTTCTAAAATATTTCCACAACTCTTTTTTGATAACTCCAAAGAGTAAAATGATTAAAGGATAGAATGGCATTATACCTGTACATACTCTGAACGTTCCATATTTAATGAATTGTTCTGATCAGCAAGTTCGGCGATAAACTCTTCATCTGTGCCGAATTCACTCTCTTCACGTAGTGACTCCCAAGTTTTCTGGTCATCTTCAAAAGAAAGCACACTAATATCAATATTTGATGATATTGTTTGATATATAGCATTTGAATTTAATTCTATTTTAAATTAAACTTTAGTTTTGAACAATTGATTACTTCTATTATAATACCTTCCTAATTTTTTTCTCAAAAATTGAGTCAATTAAAATTGGAATAAATTTAATTTCAAACGTATTCAATTCAATTTAAAGAATACCTGCCTTTTTATAGTGTAATACTACTTTTCATCCCATATTAAAAACAAACGAAATGATAAGAATTGATAAAATTAATCACTATCCACAGAAAAACCAACAAGTCGCGGTATACGATGTACTAAGAGTATCGTTGATAATAACAGCAGCGATATATTCATTATTATTACAATTTTTACCAATGAAGAAGATGGCTGATAATTGTTGTTCATTATTTAATTCACAACAACGACTTACTTTCAATTCCAACATCTGCACATGCACTGTAAAAAATATTCAAATATTTAAAAATGTCACTCTTCATCGAATTACAATGTCAAATTCATTTGACATTAATTATGTCATTTTAAGATTGTAAAAAAATTCCGCTACATCAGAACTGAAAGCATACAGCACGCACATCAAAAGTGAAAAATAAAATTGCACGGTGCAAATACGCCATATAGGAACTATAAGGCGCAAATTATTTCATATTATAATTTCAACTCATAACATGCAGTCTCGAAAGTGCGAGATAAAATTATAAGACGAAAATTACCTCCCATTCTTAACATAATACGAAGAAACAAGCTATCAGTGTATTATCATTTAACAGTAATTACCAAAAACAAACATTCAGAACTGCCAATTCACACAAAATTATTCTTTCTTCCCTGCGGCCGTATTGTTAAATCCCAACGATGTCTGATTTAAAAAATCTTTTAAATAATTATTCATTCCACAAATTTATACTATTTTCATTTGATATTTATTATTTGTTTATAATATTAGTACAATATTTATCCCTTCCTAAGGACACAAAGAATACGTCACACGACGTGCAATTACGTATAACGACAAGAAACTTTTCATACTGTCACATATACACAAAATGGTTGCATCATAATCGCCTAAAAAAATTTTAAACAATTAAATATACAAATTTACATTTAATTAAAATAAGCAAAAAAATTTGAATTTTTGCATATAAAAAGAAAGTATAAAAAAGTAGAAAAAAAATTGGTGGATTGTTTATGTATAATTTATTATCACATAGAGGAAACTTCAAATTGCGGTATCTCATTTCAAACAAATTTGTGTTA